ATTATTTGTACGTGAAGATAACTTATGTGAACGGCATCTATATTTAGCTATGTAATATGCTGGTTATGATGTGTAAACAACATGCACCGCCCATAATGCAGTGTTAAAGTAAATCACGCAAACCACGATGTTATTACTAATGGGAAAGATTGTATTGAGATAACACAAGTATGGGTCGAGAACGTTACCGTAATGTATAAAACAGACACACACTAGAGACCACGCCACCTGTATAGACACCAGGATTACTTCGTTATTTGCTATTCCGGATTCTTTATACCAATAATAAAACATTTCGTTTTATTTATTAATATTTGATTTGTCATCATCACACAAAACCGTTTCTGAATCCGCTGAGGAAAACGATGACAGGTAAATTTCCGTCATACAAAGAAACAAGCGACAAAATCAAAAACGTTCTTTTGATAATAACATTCCAGCAGTATCATAAGATTATGTGTAATCCCTTAATCGTCATTCAAGTCTTAGATTACAACCAATTTATCTGTCAGACATGAAACCAAGTTGATCAGAATTAATACAAGGATAACAATTCAGTCGTACTTTACAATGTTTCTTCTGGAATTGATTTTCATCGCAGTCTCATATCCAACAATACATCATTTTTGTGCCGAGGATAACTAAAGATCAAGAATGTATGCTGACTTATTGCAATATGCTGGAAGCACTGGCAGCTAGAACAACTATTTTGGTAGTCATGGACAGCTGGGGGTAACGGAATAAGCCTTGCTGAAGTTTAGATATACGTGATAGTGTAGTTATTTATTAATGTGTATTAATTTTGGGGAGTTATAGTATAGTCATTTAACAATGTGTATTACTTTGGGGGAGTTATAGTTTAGTAACTCAATAATGTGTATTACTTTGGGGGAGTTATAGTATAGTCATTCAATAATGTGTATTACTTTGGGGGAGTTATAGTATAGTCATTCAATAATGTGTATTACTTTGGGGAGTTATAGTAGTGTACTTTGGGGAGTTATAGTATAGTCATTCAATAATGTGTATTACTTTGGGGGAGTTATAGTTTAGTCGTTCAATAATGTGTAATACTTTGGGGGAGTTATAGTATAGTCATTCAATAATCCTCGAATCACAGATTTTGGAGTAGGTACAATTGACACGTCCTGTCACTTTCCCCTGTACTGTTCACTTGACATCAACTGTCATAAACAAAGCTCTGACAAGGTATCCACATCCTATCATACACACTACAGCCCCGATAGACCTAACCCAGTAAAAACAGAAACAGGTAAATGGTTTAAGATTTTATGGAGTAAGGACACTGACAATAATTTCATTACAAACTTCACCAACACCTGTAATAATGTTTATCCAACTCTTATCAACATGATAAATAGTAACATTGACAGGGCTATACAATATTTAGTAAACCTGTACACACTAAGAAACTGTACTCTGGGGTTATGAAACAAAGAAATATTACCCAACCACCCTTGTGGGACAATGAACTGGACAACATTAAACAACAGAAATACACAGCATTAAGGGCACATAGAGACAATAATATGGGCATTTCTCTGTTCAGAAATGTACGGTTCATCTTCAAGAAAACGTTTATAAAGAAAAAAATGAGTACTTTGGGAAACCGAAAGATAGACTAGTAGAGGCAAGAAAGGACCCTAAATTACTTTGGAAAATACTTCAGGAAGACCGGAGTTCACAGGGTTTATCTAACCAAATCACAGATGAACAGTGGGTAACACACTTTGTAGAGCTCCTCAGTACAGATACTCAAACAGACTACACCTCCCACTGCAGTACTTCCAACATGGACCTTATGTACACAGAACAGGGACCAATATCAGAACAGGAAATATTATTTCAAACTTACCAAATAACAAGACACCTGGACCAGATGGACTTGCCACAGAGTTTCTTAAAGCAACAAAACATAAGATTATCAAACCACTTATATTTCTTTTTAATAATATTCTGAATACAGGACACTTCCCAAACAGCTGGGGCAAGAGCATCATATGCCCTTTAAATAAATCATGAAATAAACATGACACAAACAATTACAGAGGCATTTCACTCATTGACACACTCTGTAAGATTTTTACCTCAGTTCTTAACAAAAGGCTACAAATGTGGTGTGATGAAAATAACATATTAAATGAGGCCCAGGCAGATTTGAGAGCTGGTAACTCTACTGTGGATCAAATGTTTGTTCTCCAGGCTGTTATTCAAAAGTATTCCTGCAAACAGAAGGAAAGATTCAACTGTCTCTTCATAGATTTTTCGAAGGCATTCGATACAATTAGACATGATGTTCTTTTAGCCTCTTTACATAGGGCTGGGGTATCGGGCAAGATTTATAATATTATTGCATCAATGTATTCCAATCTTTCAGCCAGTGTCAGAACTAAACATGGCCTTTCATCTTGTTGAAAATGTTTTGTAGGTACAAGGCAGGGATGTATTCTAAGCCCACATATGTTTCTTATATTTATTGATAATCTTTATAAGAATTTAGAATTGGATGGAGGTCAAGGAATCTTCATTAATCAATATTTCTTGAATCTATGTGCACTTATGTTTGCAGATGATATTTCGGCACTATCTGGTACGTGTAATTTGCTTCAAACGAAATTAAATGTTTTAGAAAGCTTTTGTAATAGTACAGGGATGAAAGTTAACTTAAACAAAACCAAGATTATTGTCTTTAGCATTTGGGGGGCCTCTTCGTCATTATGAGAAATGGTTCTCAAATGGTTACCCTGTTGAAACGGTTTCTTTCTATAGGTATTTAGGATTAGTTTTCACACCCAAGCTTGTCTGGACTAAAGCCCAGACATGTCTTGCATCTCAGGCCTCTAAAGCTATAATGTCTTCAAATGGTTTCCAGAGGAAAATTGGTAACATAGTTTGCACTCATCTGCTTAATATTTTTGATTCAATGGTTGTGCCTATTCTTTGTTATGGCTCTGAAATTTGGGGAACATGTCATTCCAAAGTAATATAGGCTGTGCAAATTAAATTTTGTGAACAATACTTAAGGGTGAAAAAACATACATTAAATGGTATGGTTCTTGGATAGTGTGGCAGACTCCCATTACAGCATTTGTACATGTCAAGAGCGATCAAATTCTGGTTTAGACTTGTACATATGCCACAAAATAGACTCCAACATCAATGTTATTTAATGTTAAGATCACTTGATAGCTTAGGCTATAATACCTGGGTAACAAAGTTAGACACATCCTGTTTCAATATGGATTTGGTTATGCTTGGCTAAGCCAAGAAATTGGAAATATGGAATATTTTGTGTATCTATTCAAGCTAAGGCTAGGTGATAACTTAAAACAGACTTGGTTCTCGTCAATTAGTGAATCTCCTAAATGTATATTTTACAAGGAGTTTGTTTAATGTTGAAATATACTTGTGTTGTGATATCCTATGCATTTAAGAATTGCTATAACAAGGTTTAGATGCAGTAATTTTAATACGGCTGTTGAATGTGGCAGGTACAATAGAATTGAATATAACGAAAGGCTATGTACTTTTTGTAAAACCAGACGCCAGCATTATATAGAAAATGCATATCATGTACTATTTGTAATGCCTATGACATACTTAGAACGAAATATATAACAAAGTTCACTAAAGAACCACTTACTCATTACTCTGTCGTAAATCTTTTGCAAAGCAAAAATGATGCTGTCATATACAATGTTGGCCTATACTTTTACTATGTACAGAAATTGATAAACTCCAGGACATAGAGCTGCAAAGTTGTTTTGCGTCATTCAATAATGTGTATTACTTTGGGGAGTTATAGTTTAGTCATTCGAAAAATGTACATTACTTTGGGCGAGTTATAATTTATGCATTCGTTAATGTGGAATGCTTATAGGGAGATATAGTATAGTCATTCAATAATGTGAATTACTTTTGGGGAGTTTTATATAGCGCACATATCCACACAGCTATATATGCTCAATTCAATGATGTGTATTACTTTGGACGAGATATAATTTAGTCATTCGTTAATGTGGAATGCTTATAGGGAGATATAGTATAGTCATTCAATAATGTTAATTACCTTTGGGTAAGTTATAGTTTAGTCATTAAAAAAAATCATTTATTCCTTCTGGGGGAGTTATAGTTTAGTCACTGAAAAATGTGCAATACTTTGGGTGAGTTATAATTTAGTCATTCTAGTATGAGAAGTAACTCCTATATTATTCGTTAATGTGGAATACTTAAAGGAGTTATAGTATAGTCATTCAATAATGTGAATTACTTTTGGGGAGTTTTATATAGCGCACATATCCACGCAGCTATTACATGCTCAATTCAATGATGTGTATTTCTTTCGGCGAGTTATAGTTTAGTAATTCAATAATGTGTATTACCTTTGGGGGAGTTATAGTTTAGTCATTCATTAATGAGTATTACTTTGGGAAAGTTATTGCACAGTCATTCAATTATGTGTATTACGTTTGGGGAATTATTGGATTGTAATTCAATAATGTGTAATACTTTAGGGAAGTTACCACTATACAGTTAGGTACATAAATGCACCTTCTCAATACCTGATATTAACTTTTGTTGGAATAATATTATTGTTTCATTATGTACATAACCAGTTACCCCAAGTAATAAGTTTTATGTTTGTCAAAACATGTAACTACATTTCAGCATTTGAAACGTACTACGAAATAACTTGGATCAAAATGAAAATTCAACTGATTTAATTGACCAAAATCTCGAATTTTCAAAATCAGTAGTTTTATCTCTTTAATAACATATTGCTGTTTCCGTCGATTGTAGTGTATATGTTGTGTTGTTATATATTGCTTTGAATAATCTATTAATATTATACGTTGTATTACTGTGCTTTAATTATGTAAATGAAATATTGAATCCCTGTAAGTGTTTTTAGTAGATATATCTGTGTTAATTTGATTTGACTTTCCTACCTACTTATCAGACTGTACGTCTATTTCAAGGATACATCAGTCTCAACGCTCGTGCACTGTCAGATACGCAGGTGTTAGTGTCCAGGTACGACGTCGGCACCGTCAGCCTCGCCAACCTCGACTTCTCCTACAGACAGGATGGAACAACAACGTGGACAACGTTCAGGTTGAACCCTACTCGGCGGTACTTCCCTGTTACCGAGCTCAACAGTAGCACGCTGTACTACATCCGTGTGGAGGGAAGGCAAATGAGGAGCTACAGCATGGTACACGCCTATACACATATCAGAACACCACCATACAGTAAGTAGAACATGTCAGAACACCACCATACTATAAGTAGAACATGTCAGAACACCACCATACTATAAGTAGAACATGTCAGAACACCACCATACTATAAGTAAAACATGTCAGAACACCACCATACTATAAGTAGAACATGTCAGAACACCACCATACATAAGTAGAACATGTCAGAACACCACCATACTATAAGTAGAACATGTCAGAACACGACCATACTATAAGTAGAACATGTCAGAACAGACCATACTATAAGTAGAACATGTCAGAACACCACCATACAGTAGAACTTGTTAGAACACTTTAATACAGTAAGTAAAACATGTCAGAACACGACCATGCAGAAAGTAGAACCATAAAGTGAGTAAAGCATGTTAGAAAACCTAAATACATTGAGTAGGTTACGTACCTTACCCGATACAGGATGCGATGATCGTAGGTTAGGGTCTAGTACCTGAACACAATATTTGTGTTCTGGGCTTTCCCGTGCTCTACTAAAATGAGAGGAAGTAATATAATGTAAGGCATTGTTCAAAGCGGCGGTAAATCAAACTCACTCACTCTGACATATGCGCCAGTGATACAGACATCGTTACTTGTAGGTCAAAAGGCACCCAATAACGTGACGGCAGTGACGTTAGATGATGACTCAGTGAAGGTCTCGTGGTCCCCTCAACCAGATGGCCGAGTGTTGGGGTATCTGGTCATCTACACAGAGGTGGACAGCAAGGACAGGTCCCTCACGGAGTATAAAGTGAAACCAGTGTTCAGAGACTTCCAGACAGTTCTCAGGGATATAAAAGGGTCGTCTCGCTATAAGGTTGAAGTAGCTTCCATCTCTCTGGACGGAGAAGGTTCCAGCAAACAGTCCGTCTATGTAGGGGACGAAAAAACACGTAAGTATTTCGGAATTCCACTCAGGACCGAACTAATGCTCAAGCAAATAAAACAGCTTAAAAGATTTCGATTCCTAACAGTTTAATAGTTACCACATATGGAGCTTAAATATAAGAAGAAACTAGTAAAATAGTGGTTCTCGCGAAGCACAAACGATTAAGTTCGAAAATGAGGAGTTTGGTATGTATTATCATCCAGCTTGTTGTCACGGGGCAGCATCCTTCAGTTACAATGTTCTTGGAATGCTTCCAGAGAGTAAAGAATGGTTGCAAAAGTCAATGTTAGATGTTGATCCAGGTGACCCGCTAATGTACTATTGCCTGGCTTTGAAATATCAGACATTCTATGGCGATAACATGTGCTTAAGCCTTATCAACATCTGTTCTTGTCGTTAAATATTCGGTAAATATTCTTCGACCTTCAAAAGTACCCTGCGTATTTTGTCATGTATTCAGCATTATGTCAGCTCCAGAAGAGTGCAGTGAAGCAAAGTCCAGCAATACAGACATGGCTATAGTATATATATACCCAACAGATCAGTGGAGGATGTGTGTTGTTTAGTCAAGGGATTCTTGCAAATGACGCATATTCTCCTTTGAAACTGAAATAAATACTTTTCTCTATCGGACCGTTTTTGTTTGTAAGGCTCAGTGAGAAAAAGTACAGTGAAACTAAGTGCATTGAAATTATTGAATTTCTATTAATACCCCAATCTGCTGTGCAGGTAAGACATGGTAACTGTTAGAGAACTAGGTAACATGAGTGTTTTGTGTGTATTTAGGTGTGCACACAGTACAACTTCAACTTCATCTATTTCACAAGATCATCCATTGTTCCATTCGAGGCTGCGTTACAAACTAGAAAATGGCCTTTAGGTCACAACAAATAGAATAGTTGTTCGTAGGATGTAGAATAGAAGAACGGGGTAACAGTTTTCTCCGTTTGATGAAAGCATGGCATAAACAGTGCCTTAAATAAAATTTGGTATCTAACAATGTCTGGATCAACTAGACTGATTCAATGAAATACACAATAATTATACAGGCTTAGTAAATTTGAAATACCATGTACGGAAATTTCTGCGAACAAGTATTCATTTGTTGTGGCTTAGCTAGTTATTATTCTGTTTGCATTTTTCCTTTAGTTTGTCATAGCCCTATTATTAGGATAATTATGAATTATATTATTTGCTCGATTATTGATATCATTCAGTTGCAGTATTTTGCTTTCTGCGTTGATCCTTTGCCATTATTTAGTAATGTAGAACAGATTCACCTAGGGAGTTCTGTTCACAGAGAGCAGAGTCATATAATAGCGTGATGTCCCAATACAATGATTAGTCTGACTGTATATAGATCTACTGTGTTTAATATCAACATATTAAGACGACACGCGGATCGCGACAAAATTGTGTAATCTTAGCAGCGATCCGGAATTTTGATAAATGTTGAAAGTGTTTTTGCTTGGATTTCGTCAAATCCCCTGGTCGACCATTTCTTTGAAGAATGCAATAATTATTGGAACAGTCATGTTTTATACTGTGTTTTTATCGGCCACATTTGACTTCCAAAACATTGATGTTATACGTTTGCCCTGCACAGGTATACTAGCAAATACGGCAATAGCACAAACTCTGCACGAGCCATCATCACGTTTTGCCCACAGTGCACTCAAGACTTCAGTGCAATTGGAACAACTTCCGAGTCCGATCTTTATGGCTGCCAACAGTTATCCTTCAAGTTAATGAATAAGACCATGGTTATGGTCACGTTGAAAGTACATTGGCACGACATGAGCACAAAGATCTAATTACTTCGATATATGCTTGATACACTCTATAGGTCTGAAGCTTTAGATACAGTTTTCTTCGTTTGTAAATAAACTGATAATAATACGAAAGCAAGATACTTTATTGACAACAGCTTCTTTATTATATATGATGCGAAGTTGTTATCCATAAAGTATCTCACTTTCTTATTACACACCAACTTCTAATATGCCAATCAAACAGAAGATACCGATAACAATATTGCTAGTTTTGAGGTTTGATGGTCTAGGAATCTTGAAGACGGTTCTACCTTTTTTCTCAGAACATATGAACAAAGACGATGAAAATAATCCATTTATATTGGAATTTTAAAGTGTGGGTAAAAGATTGAGATGTAATACTGCTACTACTAATGATAATATCACTGTTGCGCCGTATCTCTGCCTGCGGGTATGTTCAAAGGGCCAGCATGATCATTAGTCAGGCCAATGGATCATACTGGAATTGTCCGACCAGGCTGCCTTCTTCATTCGTGTTATTCTTATACAACCGAATGCACAGTTATAACAAGGTGAACACAGTTATAGCAAGGTGAACACAGTTATAACAAGGTGAACACAGGCAAATGGCGAACAGAATCATTCGTCTGAGGTGACATCCCATTTTTGTAATATAACTTGTGGTTCAGTGTAGGGCAGTACCAAAGAAAAAACAGCTACATCTCTCAGTAATCAAGCTTGTTAAGCGCAACACCCAAATATCTAACCCTTTGATGCCATATCGGACGCTGTCGGAAGATAGAGCGCCTGTCCTGGTGTATTCACCCATTATGTAGGTTGTATACCGAGTTATCTACAGCTGGAGGCAGTTTTCAGACTATCTGGTGGAAATCAATACTGGTGTTCCCCCTTGCCCTAGTAACGTATTCCGATACATCCTCATATCGCTCATCGCAACCTTGTAATAACACGACCCTCCACTCCAAGAACGGATACAGACACGATACTGTTACTCACAGGTGCCCAGGGCACGACTTATCTCTGTATCCCTGACGCAAGCCGGCCGTTATTGCGATATTTCTACTCACCTTTCACGGCGGAGAATCACATCATGTACAACAGCAATGCTAAAACAAGTGTCAAACGAAACTTAAAAAACAGCTGTTAAACTAAATGTTAAACTAACTAAATCAAACGCCTTTTGTTCTACCTCTTATGTTGTCCCATAGCATTCTACGCACGGTACAGACCCTGGTAGCTTCTCCGAGGGCTTCTCAGTAGTACATATGCTATTGAAAAAAGGTTCTGGACCACCCGGTTCCGTTATGTTACAACAGTTAATCTGTTATGTCATGACGTAATTAATTAGTGTTATGAAAGAACAGGGTGGTCCTTAACGTTTTGGGAGTAGTACACGTATGCTCTGCATGTCTGTGGTTTGTGCATGGTACAGCTGATTTTTGTTTATATACAGCTCCGGTAGATGCGACCTTTTCTTTCTGCACGTGCACATTTTTCGTAGCCAGCTGCTTTGATTGTTTCATTTATCATGGGGGCGAGGAGCCGAAAGAAGACACACCAGCTAAGTATTGAACATATTCTTTACATTCCATTCACTACCATCAGAATCAGTAAAGAATATACTTGACATAAAAGTAAAGTATTTTTATCTGTAAATGTAACAGGATTATTTGAATATTTTCCTTTGGTAAACTCACAGTTGATGTAAATGATTACTCTCATTATAGCCTTTCTACGAATGGTTATTCCGCCACGTGACTCCAAGGTGAAGGACAAAGGTATCCTTATTTTAGTCTGTCGGGCGGACGGATACCCGAAGCCAAGAGTGACATGGCGTAAATCTGGACGATTGTTTGACGACAGAAACAGGCGAATCTATGAGGATTCGAGTGACGGGGTGTCCATCCTTAGGATCGACCCTGTAGTGTCCCGGCAGGACCACGGGACATACACCTGCATTGCTGGCAACGGCTTTGGAGAAATAGTGCGGGCGAGGGCCACCATCAAGACATACAAGGAAAAAGGTAGCCAGAACCGTTGAGTGGAGACTAGCGTCTTTGATAAGTAGAGACATGGTGTGTTTATGATAAGTAGAGACATGGTGTGTTTATGATAAGTAGAGATATGGTGTGTTTATGATAAGTAGAGACATGGTGTGTTTATGATAAGTAGAGACATGGTGTGTTTATGATAAGTAGAGACATGGTGTGTTTATGATAAGTAGAGACATGGTGTGTTTATGATAAGTAGAGACATGGTGTGTTTATGATAAGTAGAGACATGGTGTGTTTATGATAAGTAGAGACATGGTGTGTTTGTGATAAAGTAGAGACATGGTGTGTTTATGATAAAGTAGAGACATGGTGTGTTTATGATAAAGTAGAGACATGGTGTGTTTATGATAGACATGGTGTGTTTATGATAAGTAGAGATATGGTGTGTTTATGATAAGTAGAGACATGGTGTGTTTATGATAAGTAGAGACATGGTGTGTTTATGATAAAGTAGAGACATTGTGAGACATGGTGAGACATGGTTATGATATGATAAGTAGACACATGGTGTGTCTACGATAAGTAGATATATGGTGTGTTCATGATATGTAGAGACATCGTGTGTTTATGATAAGTAGAGACATTGTGTGTCTATGATAAGTGGAGACATGATGTGTTAATGATAAGTAGAGACATGGTGTGTTTATAATAAGTAGAGACATCGTGTGTTTATGATAAGAAGAGACATGGTGTGTTTATGATAAGTAGAGACATTGTGTGTCTATGAAAAGTAGAGACATGGTGTGGTCATGATAAGTAGTCACATGGTGTGTCTATGATAAGTAGATATATGGTTTGTTCATGAAATGTAGAGACATCGTGTGTTTATGATAAGTAGAGACATTGTTTGTCTATGATAAGTGGAGACATGATGTGTTTATGATAAGTAGAGACATGGTGTGTCTATGAAAAGTAGAGACATGGTGTGTTTATGATAAGTAGAGACATGGTGTGTTTATGATAAGTAGAGACATGGTGTGTTTATGATAAGAAGAGACATGGTGTGTTTATGATAAGTAGAGACATTGTGTGTCTATGAAAAGTAGAGACATGGTGTGGTCATGATAAGTAGACACATGGTGTGTCTATGATAAGTAGATATATGGTGTGTTCATGATAAGTAGAGACATCTTGTGTTTATGATAAGTAGAGACATTGTGTGTCTATGATAAGTGGAGACATGATGTGTTTATGATAAGTAGAGATATGGTGTGTCTATGAAAAGTAGAGACATGGTGTGTTTCTGAAAAGTAGAGACATTGTGTGTTTATGAAAAGTAGAGACATGGTATGTCTGTGAAAAGTAGAGACATGGTGTGTCTATGATAAGTAGAGACATGGTGTGTATATGATAAGTAGATATATGGTGTGTCTATGATAAGTAGAGACATGTTGTGTCTATGATAAGTAGAGACATGGTGTGTTTATGATAAGTATAGACATGGTGTGTTTATTTTAAGTAGAGACAGTGTGTGATTATGATAAGTAGATACATTGTGTGTTTATGGTAAGTAGATATATGGTGTTTTTATGATAAGTAGAGACATGGTGTGTCTATGATAAGTAGAGACATGGTGTGTTTATGATAAGTAGGGACATGGTGTGTTGATGATAAGTAGAGATAGGTGTGTCTATGGTAACCCTAAACCCTAAATCCCATACTTTAACACAGGCTTGCCATAGTCGTTGTGCTTACATCACTTTGTCATATTGTCATAGTTGATGGACCCTCGGGTGAGTGTTGATTCATATAATATTGTAGGCCTATTAAAGGAACTGCACAAATAATAAAGCCATTACACTACCTTGGTTGTGAGCATGGGCAGATGTTGTTCACTTGTGTTGAGCATTGGAATCAATGGTTTGTGTCATTAAAACCATGTACAGCTTATTGATTTTTGTTTGTTACAGCCAAAATTCCAGGCTTTCCCGTCATTTCCCAACACCCGGTGCTCAACTTTGTTGAAGAAGGGGCAGAGGTCATCATGAACTGCACGTCCGAGGGCACTCCCGATATCATCACGCGCTGGTACAAGGACTCCTTCCCAGTGTACTACTCAAAAGACAATCGGGTCGCGTTAGGGGCCAATGGTGAGTGAACTGGTAGAAAATATGTTATAGAACCTAAAGAGAAAGGATGAAATTTTGATCTGTTTGTTTGCAATATTCCAACTATATGGCGGCGGTCTGTAAATAATTGAGCCTGGATCAGACAATCCAGTGATCAACATCATGAGCATAGATATGGTAACTGGGATACGATGACGTCAACCACGTCAGAGGGCCTGACAACCCGATCCTGTTTGTCGCCTCTTACGACAAGCATGGGTTACTAACCCTCATCTTCACGGGTCGAACGCATGAAATGGGCTACCAATATTCAAATGAAGGTCGTCACCTGTTTCTAATATATATAACGGTCAGTCGGGTTTAACTCCATGCAAAGTTTTAGTCGTCTAGCACAGTGGGGACCTGTGCCTGGTGGCAGCGGCAGTGAAAAATTGGCTTTCCCTATGATGAAGTTTGTAGTGTACATAAGTATTTTATTAATTGTCGGACATCGATGCCAAAATGCAACATGACTACGTTATTCGAAATGGGAATCTGTTCGTCGTCGTTACACATGAATTTACTTCATACATTAAAACGTGCGGTAAGCGCTTAGTGTACTAGATTATGTATTCCCAGTTGCTACACTTAATAAAAACCTTGGTTTGGCTCAGCCAGCATTTGTATTCTTTCCTTGTTTTCCTCCCCAGCACAACTAATTATTGTACGCGTGAAGCTCTCAGACCAAGGAAAATACGAGTGTTCTGCTCAGAATGACCTGGGAGTGGTCTTCTCCTACCCTGCACATCTCTACGTTAAAGGTAAAGGCCACGTGTCTGTGTTTCGTGTGTTTAATGGGTCACGACCAAAATGAACCTTGTTTTTTACGTATCTTGTAGATTTCAAAATACAACTCTACCTAACTGTTCAAAACACAAACGAGTGTAAACATAACAGAATTTAGCCTCAAGGTTGGTTTATTGTTTGCTGTTCAACGCCGTTCTGAGCGTTCAAAACTTGACGAGATAATTCAGTAGCTATTGGGAGAAATTTTGAATATTGGTATACGCAATTGCTATACGATGACAGGCATGAACCAACTCAGCACGCCTGACAACATCGTCTCAAACAGGCATTATTGGTTGAAGGACAACTGGGCTTTTCACGGTCAGCTTGAAGTCGCTAAGACCACTTGTGAACAGTACTGTGCGCCTGTTTACAGTTACTGCTGTCTTACAACAATAATCCAAAGTAGAAACACTGGACGAATAACAAATTATGCTCAAAAAGCGACGTTTTGGTATAAATATTTATGTCAGCTAATGAGTAAATCACGAATCGGCTATTAATATTTTCATGCGTTCATACTAATTAGATTTAGCTATAAAGGATGTATTTCATTTCCGTGATAATGTTGAACAGCTTACGGCCTAACTTCCCACACTTAAAAATAATCCTGGCGGTACGGGCTAGGATTATGCTGCTTAAGTCCTCAAACCAATTAGACTTCACGTACAGCGGTGTGGAACATATCGCTGACATTACCAACACAGTGCTCAAATCGTCTCCCTCAAATTAGCAGTGTAGCCCGTGCCAGAGTGGGTTTGTGCCATGTAAACAACATTCCATCTCACCTCAGAGCGCTTGTTTTGACTCATAAACCATCTGTTTTTATCATTCAATATAGTGTGTATGAATGTCTGTTCTCAAAACATAGTGGCAGTGAAATGTCTTTATCGCGGAATCGTCTGATTAGAGACAGATGTTAAAATGTTTGGATTGTGACAAGCGAAACTCAGTGATGTAACATCGTAGCCTGGTAACCGATGGCTTTAAGTGTGTCACCGTGTGAAGTGAAACATTTTAGTCTGACACCCATTATTCCTCATACTCCTGGGACGGTGGGGGGTAGCCTAGTGGTTAAAGCGTTGGCTCGTCACGTCGAAGACCTGGGTTCAATTCCCCACATGGGTACAATGAGTGAAGCCGATTTCTCGTGTTCCCCACCATGATATTGCTGGAATATTGCTAAAAGCGGCGTCAAGCCATACTCAGTCGCTCATTCCAGGCACTCCTGCCTTCAGACAACCTTCAAGTAGGCCTAAAATGGAACATTACACCATGCCCTTGATTCATAAATATACAGTTTTGCTAGTTGGGACGATTATACACGCTACTGTATGTCCTCTGGATCAACTGGTTTGAGAGCCCCTCACACATTTAACGAGGCTAATACATATGGATCAGGTGTTCTTTAAACTCCGCAGTGTAGCATAAAGGTCATGTTCTTTAAGTGTCGTTTACACCAACAGCAACCGCTGGAGAGAACGATAAATAGAATTAATGCATCACAAGTATGTATGTGGTGCACTTTATAATTCACAGTATAATAATTAAATATGATGCCAAAGCTTGAAAACGGTATCTATATCTATAATAATTAAATATGATACCAAAGCTTGAAAACGGTATACGTATCTATACCGAAACGTCTCTATTGTACAATAAAGAAGTTGAACATCCATAAAGACTTGTCATTGCTATTGCTCACAACTTCTAGAATGGCTCTCAAACAGTTGATACCAAACCTGTCCACACTGAATACTAGATGACCTGAAAGCTAAATCATTTACACACGACAAGAAGCAAACCTATATGACTTGTAATAGATACCCTAATAATTATAAAAATAGACGAAACCCTCATACAAGATGATCTTCATGATCCAAGTTAATGCTCAAATTAGATGCTAAGGATCCGAAATGACCTACATACAAAATGACCTACATACTAGTTGACCTAGATATGTAATGCTAATGATGATGATAATGAATTTATATAGCGCCTACTTCCAAAAAGTATTTGCCCAACGGCGCTGAAGATGAGAGTAAGAAAAGTCTATGAGAGGGATACTGTGAACAGATGGGCTTTTAGTGCATTTTTGAAAGAGTCTTTACAGTTGATTTCTCTGATAGTGATAGGGAGGCTGTTCCAGAGTAATGGGGCTGCAGCTGAGAAGGCTCTGTCACCCATAGTGGTCTCTTATCATATTACATACCATATGATGTGTTATCCAATTTGGATAAGGTTATTACGAATGCAGTATATTAGATATCACTGCCTATGTTATTGACAATTATGCACAGAAAACCGTCAAATTGGACGGACGTACAATATTTGCTTTATGAAATGGTGTTGGATTCGTATGAATAAGTCAGGATGTTGGTGATACTGAACTTTATACATTCAGTCAAGGTATATGTATTAAGGAGTATTGCGAAATATATATTACGAAGGCCTATTTCACTAGTCATGTAGTGTTTTTCTCCGTAACCAATTCTCCGAAAGTGCAGAACGTTCAGGGCCTATGCTAATATCTACGTGTAGCTATTCTGTAATTAGGTATGGTAAGGCGTGTTAGAAAACAGCATGGCGCCAACCGACTATATTTATTCAGATGGGTTACACGTGTTTTCGTGTTATGTTGTGAAGAAAAGATTTATATTGATCTCGTCAAAAGTATTGAGAGAGATCATGATAATAATGACCTCTCTGTATCTCTCTCGAGAGTGCACCAGAGAGTACTCGACTGAAACAGTTTTTGTTTGTTGGACCATAAATGACAGTGATGGGTTGAGAAATGTTGGTACCTCTACATGTATTAAATATGATATTGATAACAATATTTCTTAGTGATGTGCACATCCTAAACGGTGTTTTTTAACATCTGACTGTAAAGAATCAGTATATATTTATTCTTATACAAATGTTTAATATGTGTTGTTTGTTTTTCCTTATTCATCATGGGATAATCATTTTGAATCTGTCGGTATTGTTTTGAATTGAATAACACCAAGAGACGAACAATCATCCCGAATCAATGCATTTCCTCAGAACGAATTTTGATGATGACACCCCCGTCGTTCCTGCGGTCCAAGCTGCGGTTCAAGGTCGACTACGGCGAGGAGGTGTCGTTGACGTGTGACGCCGTGGGTCAGCCTGTGCCGGATGTATGGTGGGAGCAAAACGGAAAGCGCCTGAAGGGCCGGTCTCACAATGGTCAGAATATTAAGGTGCTGCAAGACTTAAGGCAAACATCTAACTACACATGTGTGGCGTCCAACCCACTCGACACCATCCGGAGAGACTACTCAGTGAGGGTGTTCGAACCTAAACTTGAAGGTAGGTGTTGTTGTTGAAAGCAGTGATGCGGTGATGTTCTACTCCGACAATATACCTCTCTCTGAAAAGATCAGAGGACGACTTCCTCATCAGCCAATCAGCATCGAGGTTTTTAACTTTCTGTACAAAAGTGATCATAGCAATCAAACCAGCACATCTGATTTCTGCATCTAGAAAATGAACTAAAACGAAGTTCCAGTAGTAGCAGCGTTATTATATTGTGGCAGTTGTTGATACTCAAAGCATCTTGTTGTGCACCATGGCGCATTGACATCCAAGTGAGTGAACCACTGAAGAAATATCCGAGTTCTGCGTGGACTTTCATTTGTACAAATCGACATTAAGAGGTGGTTACAAATGTGGTCGAAAATAGTTTCAAGAACCCTATGGGATGTCACAGAACGGAGACTTCCCATAGGTTTGGGTTCTATTGACGCGATCTAAGGTGTGCTCAGATCTTAACAGAGACTGGTACTGTGTCTGGGTAAAATGTCTGATGTGAATAATTTTATGTGTAAAATAGCACGTTATGAAATGGGATTCGAATCCTGGTATATCCATTGTGTCTGGACACTTGTCGTTATAAATGTATATAATTTCTTTTTTTCCAGGGTTAACAGATCGTTGCGTTTGCAAAGAGAACCAGCAGAGAGCAACCAGAATAATGTAACGCGTTAGCCACACAAATTACAAACAAGACCCTAACCCCCAACCCCCACCTAGTACATATTTTGATAATTAGAGCTATTCTCTTCTTTCATTGCTACGGTTTGAGTAATTGATTTACTGTGTCTGAAAATGTGGCGGGTTTCAATGGTTACGATGCACACTGTATGGGATGTATGTGTTGTTTGTAATTTGTGTGGCTAGTTGTATTTAACATGTGGACAGATTCTACAGTTTATAGCTCTATGTTGGTTCTTTTTAGCTTGACATGATGGAGAATGTCGAAATGAACAATTCATTAATGATGCTATATACTTTGCAGGATCAGCATCTTGCAACCATTTTACCGTAACTGCATTGAAGTCATGTCTGTCTCAAAGAACTCTGTGTACATTTAGAAAGAGATTGCTGCTAATAACGACTTATAAATATTTTTTCAGATTGTCGGTAGTTGTTGAAATTAATGATTCTGTCATTAATTTGGTATTAAAAGACATTTCCCGTTATCCAATACTCAAATACCTCTTCAAATCTAAAAACACAAATTATTTTCCTCCCTATTAGATCCTCCGCATTACCTAATCAAATTCAATCACAAATCATAATAAACTATATTCTTGACGTGAGAGTAATCATTGCAAGACTTTTACACTCGTGAGCGTGAAACGTCATTTATTTCTCGGTATTATGATCATTGGCCCTTTTGCAAAGACCTGCGTGTCCTCCCACTGTGCTGATACAAGATGGTGATATTGCTTCGTGTTTCGGTGTAGATCATATATCCTGCAGGAAGCTCGAGAGACTTTCAACATGGGACATTGTTTCAGACACCATGGTGGCGCCCTCCTTCAAGCCCGCATCTCTGTCCGTCAAGGTCAAGTTCGCCGGTTCCACTAGTCTGACTTGTGAGGCTGAAGGCGATCCTGTCCCACGTGTCATCTGGTTGTTACGGGGGAAAATACTCAAACGGAAGTCAGACAATGGCAAGAACGTCTTACGGCTTATGCGGCTGAGAGGGTCTGGAAACTACACCTGCACGGCAAGCAACATCGCCGGCAACGTCAGCCAGGTCTATAATGTTACCGTGGCGGCCAAAGTAGGTAGGTGCTTTACTGTTTGACGTATAAAAAGCGAAAGTCAAATGAAAATATGGGTGATCAACGTACCCATGGGGATATGTTATCACGTTCTCTTTGGCTATCGAAAAGGCCGTAAAATAAAATATCTATAAAACGTTACTTACATGTTTAATTTCAGAGAGATTCAGAGTAAGTCGACCAGTGGACTTACAGACAGCAGTGGTGTTGCCGAACGAGGTGGAGTTGAAGTGGGATCCCCCGAAGAACCTGAGTGGGGTGACAGGGTTCGCTGTGTATGTGGTGGACACTGTTACCAGTGACGAGACCCGTGAGGAGCTCCCCATAGTGTACAACCACACAGTGACTAACCTCCAACCAGACAGACAATATAGCATCCGGGTTACTTCGTTATCAGAGTCGCTTGACGGGAAGGGCACTCCTGCCGTTTTAGTGAAGACTCTTAAACTTGGTAGGGACGTGCATTTACCTTCCCGAGAACCTGCTTGAAATTTTCTGTCCACTATTGAAAATAATTATTTGTTTGCGAGACTGAAAAGGAAACATGATAATCGTCGGCAGTACAACGCTATTTGAGTGATATTCACTTATTTTTTTTCATTTGTATGCCATAGCATAATTTGTAATTGTAATGATACAGATGATTGTGTTGCGGTGTTGGCGCATCATGATGTTACATGTAATTAATTGGCGTAACAGACAAAGGGTAACATCGTAGCTACGACACGTGGTAGCATGTAGTTCACCTGACCTGGGTGGGTAAAAAGTCCCCCCCTGACATAGACTATTGCATGTCGAACGTGACATGGCGTAACACGTGTCGTACGTGACATGGCGTAACACGTGTCGTACGTGACATGGCGTAACACGTGTCGTACGTGACATGGCGTAACACGTGTCGTAAATGACATGGCGTAACACGTGTCATAAATCGCACGTGTCGTACGTGACATGGCGTAACACGTGTCGAAACTGGCATGGGGTAACACGTACCGTTAGTGACAGGGTACCAAATGCTGACACAAACAAATACCTGCATCGCCTGACTTGGCGTTACACGTCTCTCATGGAGTACCACGCGCGTAATATGTGACATGGGCTGATTTGTATATCAGACATGGGGTAAAGCGTATGTGAGTTCTGACTGGGGTGCTACGTACATCTTCTGACGTAGGGTACTACGTACATCTGACACGGGGTAACACATACATCTGACATGGGGTAACACTGACATAGGGTAACATACATGACATGGGGTAACACACGGGGTAACACACATCTGACACGGGGGTAACTGACATAGGGTAACACACATCTGACATGGGGTAACACATCTGACACGGGGTACATCTGACATGGGGTAACACATACATCTGACATGGGTAACACGTACATCTGACATGGGTAACTCACATCTGACATGGCGTACATCTGACATGGGGTAACACGTACATCTGACATGGGGTAATCTGACGTGGGGTACATCTGACATGGGTAACACGTACATCTGACATGGGTAACATGGTACATCTGATATGGGGTAACATCATCTGACATGGCGTAACACATACATCTTCTGACATGGGGTAACACGTACATCTGACATGGGTTAGCACACATCTGACACAACTCATCTGGGTAACACATACATCTTCTGACATGGGGTAACACGTACATCTGATATGGGTCAACACATACTGACATGGGGTAACACACATCTTACATGGAACATGACATAACAACACGTACATCTGACATTGGGTAACACGTACATGGAACATGGGTAACACGTACATCTGACATGGGGTAACACACATCTGACACGGGGTAACACATACATCTTCTGACATGGGGTTACACGTACATGGAACATTGGGTAACACGTACATCTGACATGGGTAACACGTACATCCGACATGGGTAACACGTTCATATTTTGCGATGGGAAACACAATCATATTCTGACACAGGATAACCCAATCATCTTCTGACACGGGGTGACATGTCCATCTTCTGACACAGGATAACACGATCATCTTCTGGCATGGGATAACACGATCATCTGTTTCTGACATGGTATAACACGGTCATCTTCTGACATGGGATAACACGGTCATCTTCTGACATGGGATAACACAGTCATCTTCTTCTCACATGGGATAACACGGTCATCTTCTTTTGACATGGGATAACACTGTCATCATCTTCTGACATGGGATAACACGGTTCAGATGGGATCTTCTTCTGACATGGGATAACACGGTCATCATCTTCGCGTTCATCTTTGACATGGGATTTCATCTTTCGACACACCCGTTCATCTTCTGAAATGGGATAACACTATCACCTTATGACACGGGGTAACACGTTCATCTTCTGACATTGGAAACGCGTTCATCTTCTGACAGGGTATAACAATCATCTGGCACGGGGTAACATGTTCATCTTTTGACACGGGATAGCACGATCATCTTATGACATGGGATAACAAGTTCATCTTCTGACATGGGATAACACGATCATCTTCTGACATGGGATAACACGATCATCTTCTGACATGGGGTAACACGTTCATCTTCTGACATGGGATAACACGATCATCTTCTGACATGGGATAACACGTTCATCTTCTGACATGGGATAACACGATCATCTTCTGACATGGATAACACGATCATCTTCTGACATGGGATAACACGATCATCTTCTGACATGGGATAACACGATCATCTTCTGACATGGGATAACACGTTCATCTTCTGACATGGGATAACACGTTCATCTTCTGACATGGGATAACACGATCATCTTCTGACATGGGATAACACGATCATCTTCTGACATGGGATAACACGATCATCTTCTGACAATGGATAACACGGTCATCTTCTGACATGGGATAACACGTTCATCTTCTGACATGGGATAACAGGATCACCTTCTGAAATGGGATAACACGATCATCTTCTGACATGGGATAACACGATCATCTTCTGACATTGGATAACACGATCATCTTTTGACATGGGATAACACGGTCATCTTCTGACATGGGATAACACGTTCATCTTTGACATGGGATAACACGTTCATCTTCTGACATGGGGTACCCCTGTTACTGTTAACATGATACATCACTGCCCCTGACTACGGGAACTTGTCTACCGTAGAGCCACGTAATGACCGACATTGTACGTCCCAGTGCCACTGTTTGTAGCCACTGAATGTTGAGCACATAGATCACTACCGTTTTGTCTGGCACTGACAGCCTGGAGAGTTTGTATCGCACTCAGCATGGCATACACATAAGACGTGGACATGTGTTGTTACGTTCGTAGAACATTATTTATATCGTTAATGACTTGTTTTGAATTGTATTTAGCATTGTTCAATAAACATAATGTGTTATATTTAGCGTCTAGTTGTGTGTGTGGATTTACCCAGGACTAAATCTGACGTGTGATACTGTAGCATGTCCTCAGTCAAGGCAGTAGACATATAGCGAGGACGTCTGAAGCCACGTAGTGTCACGATGTGCTGTGCCGGCCCCTCACGCTACACTATATACACGAGCCTGTGTGTTCACCACTCACCACTAACACAAGTCAGGTAGGTCTGTCTCATTCTTCTGTGACGTGGGCGTGGAATGTTCACCTCAAACTAACATTTTTGCGACGCTGTTTTTGTTAAACTGTTGAAATGCCGGCGAGTCTATTGGTTCCCTTTCTACAGATTCTATAGAGAGCCCGTTCGACAAAGTGTCTTAGCGCTACGAATATAGTAAGCCTACGTTATGGAGTTACTGTATGAACTTAAGATCACATTGGCACTAAGGTCGCTTTGTGGAATGGGACACAGACCCGCCCCACAATACGATCTTAGCGCAACGGCGGTCTTAAATCTCTACATTTATGTTTTACGATTGTCGTAGCGCCGAGAGAGTTTTAGTTTCAGCCCTGGTCGCCAGGCGTGCGCTATACGCGCTAACATCTGCATCTAACTAACGAAATGGTTCATAGCCCGCTTGACAAGTTCATTACAAACTGTGTGTGATTATGTTATCTGTGCAGCTCCAACGAACGTCACGGCCCAGGCCATCGACAAGTCCACGATTATGGTCAAGTGGAGGCTACCGGAAGACCCCTCGGTCAGAGTGTATCGGGGAGTGGACGTCGAGTACCGCCAGATGAACGACGAGGGGGCTGTGGTTAAACAGGAAGTGCAGCGGTATGCTGGGAGAGGCAACAGCCTTTATATCCGGGCACTGAACCCAGCCACCACCTACCAGGTCCAGGTTCGAGCCCGGACAGATATTGGGGGAGGAATACCAAGTGATGTCGTTATGGTTACTACTGACCCAGAAAGTAAGAATAACCGTATAAATTCCATTGGCCCTACGAGATCACTAAAGAATAACAAAAAAACCTCTCAATACCTACTCAGAGGAACCTTGTAATTTCCGTAAAAAGTATAACCGTGTGGAAATAAGACCATGTATTTGTGCAGTGTTTGCAAATGCACCTATCCTTGATCTTCCAGTCCCCGAACCGCCATATCGGCTGCGGGCAATAGACGTCACTCACAATGAGGCCGAAGTCAGTTGGGCTACCCGTACTCCTATCTCCAGACTGACGTCGTTCAACGTGTACGTCAGGGACGTCGAGACGGGACGTGATCGTTTACATCACCTGAGGAGCACCGGCGACAGCAGCTACAGAATCCGAGACCTACTCCAAGACAAGCAGTACGAGGTGACGATCAGCTCTGAGATCAACGGACAGGCGGGAAACCGATCTCTCCCCATGAGATTTAGAACAAAACCATTTGGTGAGATACAGAATTGTGGGTGTGTTATATTACGCTGTTTGAGCGATACGGAAATGGAACTATTTCACAGCGGAATACTCACAGAGCTGTCTTCACATATTGCATTTGCCTTTGTCTCTATATCCGTGAAGATCCGGGTTAGAATTGGTCTTCAGTAACCCATGCTTGTCGTAAGAGGCGACTAACGGGATCGGGTTGTCAGGCTCGCTCACTTGGTTGACACATGTTATTGTATCCCAATTGCGTAGATGGATGTTCATGCTGTTGATCACAGGATTGTCTGGTCCAGGCTCGATTATTTACAGACCCGCCTCCATATAGCTGGAATATTGCTGAGTGCGGCGTTAAACAACAAACCAACCAATCAAACCTTTCTCTCGAACCTGTCTTTGGTGTGACGAGCGAACGCTTTAATCACTCGGACTCCCTTACACCATGACATGACATGACATGACATGACATGACATGCTTCTTATAACGTGATATTCTGTGTTGATATGGCTGCTTTCACGTCCTAAACACGTAATCTGTTTTATGATTCCTGTTTTATTCAGTTCCCGATGCACCTACCAATGTGAAGGCGGATGCTTTGAACGCAACAACCATCTTGGTAACGTGGACGACTGCTGGAGACCTAGCGTCCCGATCGTACATAACGGGCTACAGCATTCAGTATGAAGAGTTGGCACGGTACACAGGCAGTAAGACAGTGGACGTTGGTGTCGCAAACAGAGGTATTCTGACGTCACTGAACGAAAACACAACGTACAAGATACATGTATTCGGATATACTGAACGAGGAGACGGGAAACTTAGTACGCCGATTCAAGCCAAAACACGTACGTACACTACACTAAATGGTGATTGCCTGAATTATTGCTTTTGGTGTCGATCGCACATAACGCCAGAGAGTGATTGCATGAATGATTGAGTTTTGGGTCGACCAGTATGATGATTTTGATAGCGGTTGCACGAATGAGTTTATGTGTGAACATTCTACACTGTTTTTGTCAGTATTTCAACAACAGCCATTAGAGAAAACAACAATTGACCCTGAAATGCACTGGCAGTTGCAAGTCCAATATCTACCACAACACTCTGCAATATCGTGTACACAAAACAACCCTATCGCTGCCATTGTACTTGCGCTTCGCACACCGTAGAACGACAACCAAGAGGCAACATGATGATTATGCACTGACTCGTAGTCCCAGATTTGACTAAATGTTTAGACGTATGTAGTTATGCCCCTGTTCTGAATCCCGTCGTTTAATAATTACATAGCTGGTGTTAAAGTCAGTAGGCCGCCCTGTGGGTATGTCACGGCAGCTGTCTGATATTTGAAGATTTACTCTCTTTCTATATAGTAAATCGATATTGACCCGGAGCCTTTCGAACAAAAATGTAGCAGTTTCACATCCGCGTGTTTTTCGAACAGTGATCATGTTCCTCATTTTGTTCACAAACCTTGAATTAAAAGCCCTTTGCCTCCGACAAATTGATGTCTAGCTCAAGCTAACATTTCAAAACCATTTCACCTTCCCAGACACAGACATATTGCGTCACAGTAGCGAGCAGACGATCAGGGCGACGAAGAGCAAACAAAGGGAGATTACTCTAAATTATCGGAGTGACTATCGGAGCTCTCGTCGTCATTTCGATCAAAGACACACTTCCCTAGATATTGCCAGGACAAATCGCTTCATAGCTTCATCTCCTTAACATCTGCCTGTACAATCGCACCTAAGACTCGCCGATATAGTTATTGCCCATGCTATTTGCATGATATTGTTATACCAAATCAAACGCAGAGGTTAACCCCAAACATCACACAAAGCTAAATTGTTGATCAATAATCATTGAAGTACAAGAAAGGCAACACAATGGGTGAAAAAAGTGGGAGCAGCAAATAGTAACAGGCCCCAGAATGAATAATGTAGCTACACTCGCGGATATGTGATCACTGTTTATTGTAGTGAAATAGGTCTGCGTTCGTTATGTATCAAGTTTCGAAAGTTTTGCTGTGTAGGCCTATCCCACTTGGTAAGTCGATGAAAAAATATGGGCCTCATCTTCCTCTCATGTCGATTAGATGGGTACAGCCAGGGTTACCGTCTTCAAACTGTTTCAGTGACGAATGGTTAAGTCTGCCGTGTTCGTTCTGCACAAGGGCGGGTAACTCTGTTCAGATGTATAGATTTTTCGGGAAAAGAAGGCAGCATGAGAACTATATAATTACAGTGGTATTGAAATCATTTTCTGCCACTGATACTATCACAAACATATGTATAACAGTCTTCAGCAACACTAACATCACCCATATATCTCTGTATAACCAAAGAGTAAAGCGTATCTGTGTTGTTCACTTCCCCAGTGGTGTCACCTCAACCAGTGGACCTCCAAGCTACCCTGGTCTCCCACAACAGTATCCATCTCTCCTGGGATGCCCCCGTCATCCTCCGCTCCATCAAATCCTTCAACGTGTACGTCCACGACACTGTGACGGGGAAGGACACGAAGACGTCTGTCTCCCCAGCGAAGGAGCACACCATCACGGGTCTCAAGTCAGATAGACGCTACACACTCACGGTTGCCTCTGTCGTGGAGTCCCGTGAGCGAGAGCGGTCACAGCCACTCACTGTCTCAACTCTTCCCTATGGTGAGACGGGCTACAGCGATGGGTAGCTATGTCAGAAAACAATAATAATATACAGTGAAGCTGTTAACGTCCGGGTATCATCTAGATTATACTGATTTAACCGAGTTTCAACATTACACCAGCAGATTTAATCGGAGGTAATTGGAGGAAATTGTTTCAGAGGATTTAACTATCATTTCATATGAAAGGTCGACACATATTGAGAAGCACACGTTTGTCGGTGAAAACACAGCTTTGATCTTAATGAAGACATTCGGTGACATTCATGTGCACGTTTGTTGAACATCATATTAACTCAGTTAATAAATCGTACTGAAAGTTAAGATAACACATCACTTGTCCTAATACATCTTTAATCCCGTAGCAATATTCTTATTCATGTGATGCAGTTCCTGATCCACCTGGTGACGTGGTAGTCAAAGTCGTTAACGAGACGGCGGTAAAGGTGGAGTGGAGGCTGATCAAGGATGATGATCGCGCGATTGTCAAATACCAGGTGGCCTACAGCGAGTTGGGCCGGGCGGGGACCAGTGAGGCGGTGACGGTGTCACGGAGGAGCAGTAGAGTCGTCCTGTGGCCACTGGACATGGACATCAGCTACAATGTCCGGGTCCGAGCGGAGACGGCCACAGAGAAGGGGGTGTACTCGCAGCCAGCAGTAGTCACAACTCGTAGGTTATATGGGAAACACTCATTGGCATTTTAAAGGCAAACATAATTTACTCCTTAAAATGGTCCCGTCCTCACTTCTTGAAAAAGTTTAATGTTTGGAGCTGGTCATTTCACCGTGAGTTTCATGTGTGCATGTTTGTTTTTCCTTGGAAGAAGCTTTCCACAAACGTTCTCAAATAGCAGAAAACACAAACGATTAATGTTGCTCAAGCTGGAATGATAGTAATGAGTTGTTAATAATAAGGAATGTATTATATTCTACCTTTTCCTCTCATTTCACAAAGACACATACAAACCAATATATGCACCTACTGTTGCCTGGTAGAGCTCAGTGCTGATGAACACTCTATCATGAATTTTTTTGGATTAAATTACAACATTGTATTTTTGTGATTTCACCAGCTTTATAACTTTCAATTTTCAGTTGCATCCAATAAGCCAAACGAAATCCAGGCTTCGAACATTCAGTTCAACCAAGCCGATATATCGTGGTACGCTCCGATAGAGAAGCGCAACATCACTGGTTTTCGCTTGGTTGTCACGAACACCGTGACTGGGGACAAAACTCGTCTAAACCTACCTGCTGTCACTGAGCATACCATCACCGACCTATACCCAGACAGGAAGTACATCATCACTGTCCGGTCAAGGATGGGTGCAATGAGAGGCAAGAAGTCGGAGGAATATGTATTCAAAACATTACCCTATAGTAAGTACAGACACAAGCAGCTATGAGTAAGCGTGCTGGTTTAAGGCCCTTTTAACAATATTATTTTTTTTCACAGTGTCCGATTAACGTCTGTGGAGGGTGATGTGTGTCTCAGACGTTTGCTCGTTACAATTAAATGCGGGTTGGGAATGGTGCTGCCATCCCTGTGCATATGTATGGCAAATATAGGGTACGAATCCACGATCATCAGATCCTGGTAGACCTAAGGGACGCAACTCTGCATAATGAATCGTGGCCTTTAGCCGTTCTGGTCACCGATATCACTCTATACTGTTTACACGGCAGGGATATTGCAATGGGTTTATAGTTGTGATCACACTTGTTTCCCGTGAGGTTGAATGTAATTGTATATACATTCTGCCTTAGTACCCGTCCCACCCGCCAGTATCAGCGTTGTTGCCGCGAATGACACGTCTCTTGTTGTGGAGTGGGTTCCAACCGTGAATGATCAGACCCGTCGCTTCGTCGTGCGCTACAACATCGTCTACGGCAGGCAAAGAGACAGACCCGAAAACGAGGAGAGTGTGCAAGTTTCGGGAGATATCAATATGGCGGTCATCACAGCCTTGGAGCCGTATACCACGTACAGAGTGCGCGTGCGCGCAGAGACGCTGACTGAGACGGGGCAGTTTAGTCTACCGATCCACTCATCAACATGTGAGGAGAATACTCTTCTGGTTCTTGTTCCTTTTCTATCATCATGTAGTTCAACAATTTCATTGAATTTCCTTCAAAGAATCCGCTCTGATTACATCAATTGCTGTATTTGTTTGACATTATTCTTCAATGTATCCTTAAGTATGGAGTCTATGCTTTTGATAATTCTCACCAGTAAAATCGGACAAACCTGTGTCCCTGAGACCAACAAACCTCGAGTTCAACCAAGCTGATGTGGCCTGGGACGCTCCGATTGATGAACGGGATATTACCGGCTTTCAACTCGTGCTCGCTGACGTCACGAGCGGAGAGATGACGCTCCTGAACGCGCCCCCTACTAAAAGATACACCCTGAGAGATCTCAAACCTGACAACGGGTACACGTTGACTGTCACGTCACAGCTCCGGGGCCGGAAGGGGCAGACGTCGGAGAAGATGTCATTCAAGACGTTGCCGTTCGGTTAGTTACATACCCGCCGTCAACGCATGGAATATATTCTTGCTTGTAAATATGACGTCATTACCATGAATACACAATGGTACTACTGCATGGCATACCTTCATGACAATGATATTATTGTGTCGTCATTATGAGAGCGTCTTGTATACCACTGCTGTCAGACACATCATGATATTATAGCTCGAATACACTGCAATAGTTTGGCTAATAGAGTCTGGTTCCATTGCTTTGTGTCCATCTCTTGAAAAACAGACGATTTTTGCCACGATGTGTGACTGTTTTACATCTGTCAGATTTGACTGTCTACTTTGTCTGTTATATATGACTATCCGCTATGTCAGTCACATCTGACTGTCCACTATGTCTCTCACACCTACTGTCTACTACGTCTATCACAACTGCCTACTTCTTCTTTCATGTCTAACTGTCTATTACTTCTGTTACATTTGAACATATACTGTCTCCCAAATATGAGTGTCTGTTTCTTATATCACATCCGATTGTCTACTAAGTCAGCCAAATGTGACTGTCTAATACGTCCTCCACATCTGACTGTCTAACTCGCCTACCACATCTCACTTTCTACTATCAGTATGTCAATCTGTCGACAACGTCTGTCACAACTGCTTGCTACCTGTCAGATCTGACTATCTAGTACGTGTCATCTCACCGTCGTCTACGTCCGTCACGTCTAACCATGTTTACTGTACCAGTCCCGGAAGCTCCGACGAACGTTGATGCAACTGCCATCAGCGACACCTCTGTGTCGGTACAATGGACGTCCACGGATGACGAGGAGACTAGCGGCTACATTCTACGTTACCACATAGCCTACAGCAAAATGGGGGCCTCGACGGATGCGGAAGATAGCGTGCACGTGGATGCAGGCAGCAATGAGGTCGTCATCGCTCGGTTGGACGCCGAGACCAACTACAGGATACGAGTGCGGGCTGAGACGCTGACAGAGGAGGGAAAGTACAGCAACTTCATCAGAATCAGGACTTGTGAGTACTGGCGTCTTTTATACATTGCCTCAATATACGCGCCAGCCTTGAAGTCTGTGTCCCAAACAGATGTATCTGATGTGTAATATACGGAAACAACACGATGCCATATTGTCCAATGTTTAAAGCGTACCCTCGTTGCGCTGAAGCCTAAGGTTCAGGCCCCTACATAGTGTCTTGCGTGAAGCGCGATGGCATACATTGGTGTCCCCGAACTTGATATTGGTGAATTTAATAAAAAATCGACATAATACCACACTATTCGGAAGAGATTGTTTTGGCCAAAATTGTGTGTGTGTGTACTTACAACACAGACTTTAGCCTTACCTTACATATGTTTCAGTAAGATCGGACAAACCTTCGAAAGTCGTCGTAAAAAGGGTACAATTCAACCAAGCTGAGGTGTCATGGTACGCACCGATCAGCGAACGAGGTATCACGGGCTTTAAGCTCACGGTAGCTGATATCACGGGCGGGGAATTGAAGTACTTGGACACGCCCCCGATTGAACGCTATACATTGACAGGACTCAAACCCGACAACGGATATACTGTCAGTGTGATGTCACAGCTCGGGGATGAGGAAGGGAAGATTTCAGACATGCTGGAGTTTAGGACCCAGCCGTATGGTTAGTATATCAACCTTGGATGTCCTAGCGATAAACGAACGTATATGAACGTTGTACGTAAGTATATCACCACCGCGAACTTTGTGATATCTTATCTCCAAAGTAAGTATAGCAACCTGTTGCACTTGGCGGACATGTCTTACCTCAATGCCTTAGTAACAACAATTATAACATCAACCTGTAACAACTTTGGATGTCGTGCATAGCCTACGTGTACACTTGAGTACATAAAGGTGCTACACCTGGGATGTCGATGATATTTAGCCTGTAAACGTAAGTATAAATATGTACGTGTCATATTTTGGATGTTCGAACATTCAAAGCGTTGTACGTTATACGAATTAAGCACTGTACTTATGCGATGGACTCAAGATGCTTACTTTTCGAGGTCGCCGCAATGTAGAGTTGCGTCCCTTAAACTTCCAGTATCCGTGTGTCGGAAAGCAAGGTGATTACTTCATGATACATATCATACGTCGTGATTACATATCTGTGATCCCATCTCTCTCATTGTCATCATTTAACAAAGTAACCTTCCACTATATTCTCTCTGTTGTTGAAGCATAACACAGGGAAGAATCATGCGCGACAAGGACCAGTAATTATCAGAATCATCGTGACTAAAACTCGGAATCACGGAGACTGATATTGCAAGTATATATTCAAACGACTTCGGAAGAAAGATTGTGACCACTGGTACTAGTACTGCTCCCCTAGTAGTCCACATTGACGATGTTGCCATTCCCACAACAAGGCACGGTACAGCTTTGTACAGCAGTGATACAGACAACGTTGGAATTGTTAAAAACGTGGTGAAGGACTGCTGCAATTCGAACTGAAGAACTGCATACAGATTGAAGAGCACTACATGAACTGCAGAGCACTATATGGAATAAAAAGCATTATGATCGAAGAACACTATACGGCTTGATGGCGTATGGATAAAAAAAGCGCTGCACGCATTGCTTAGGACTTTTTGACTTGGAAAGCACTATATGGATTGAAGAGCATTATATGGATTAATCAACACTTTATGGTGTATTGACATGGCATCTAAACCATACCAAGAATGAAGACCACACTGTGGCCCCATGCAGTAAAAGTGCCGTTGAGGAAATACGTGCATGTGTTAGCGCGAAATGCGTTCGTTGTTATATCTTCATCATATCACATGGTCTTCAGCTCCCATTTTTTGATATATCCAGAGACGATTTAAAATCTTTATCCACATCTATGCTGCTCGTGTGTTTTAATACTCGATGTATATATAAGTTGATCTGTTGATTTCATATTGTAGATTTCCGGACGTTCCATATTGCTCGCTTTGTTTCCTGGCAGAGTATAAAGTTTCAAGAACTTAAATTATTTATGTGTCTACCATTACAATAATTGCAAACAGGACAGACAAGACAACCGATGCTACAGAAACCAGCACCCTGCATGTATTTCACTTTGAAACTTCTATGAGGGCGAGAATGAACTTGTGCACCTGGAAACAACCCTCAACGAACACCTTCGCTATCTATGGGACAAGTTACATGTATCTTTTAGAATTAATGCTTTCAGATTTTTTGTTGTGCTGTGTATAAACACTGCAATACTTTCACAATATTTCGTCTTTCATTTACAAATGTACTCCGTGGCCAGAGCGAAATGTCTAAGTTATTTGACTTACGTTATGTCAATGTATTTGTCATAATGTACAATTAAACGTGAAGAACCTGTCGAAAGGGTAATCCTTTTGCCATTGAAGAACGTGTTATACTTCTTAGAGTACATGCATGCCTTTCATCATGCCCTTTAACAAAGTGTAGATGCCACGGAACGAATATTTGAAAATACAGAGCAAAAATACCGGCTATTTTAGTACTTACGATTATTTATCCCCTACTTTATTAACTGTTGATTGTTTCACTTGCAGTTCCTACCTCCCCGTTGGCGTTGTTGCAACGCCTCTAAACGACACGGCTGTCATGGTGCAGTGGACGCCAACCGTTGATGATGAAACTCGTCGCTACGTCACGAGTTACAACATCGCCTACACCAGATTAGGAAGCGGAACGGAGGATGGAGCTGAGGAAAGCCTGTTGGTAACTGGGGACTCCAAAATGGCGACGATTACCTCCTTGGTCGCGGACGCCAGCTACAGAGTGCGTGTACGCGCTGAGACGCAGACGGAAAAAGGGCAATATAGCCTCCCGAATCTTGTGAAAACATGCAAGTAGATCAACACGTTTTGTCCTCAGTGGCAAATGTAATGTACACGTGGCTGTCCACTCTATCCCTCGTCTAACAAGAAGTGTCTATAACTTCTCTTCCTCCCAACACGTGTCTATAACTTCTCTTCCTCCCAACACGTGTCTATAACTTCTCTTCCTCCCAACACGTGTCTATAACTTCTCTTCCTCACAACACTTGTCTATAACTTCTCTTCCTCACAACACGTGTCTATTACTCCTCTTCTTCATTAGCACGTGTCTATAACTTATCTTCCTTAGAACACGTGTCTATTAGTCCATCTACTTCACAACACATGTCTATAACCCATCTTCCTTAGAACACGTGTCTATTAGTCCATCTTCTTCACAGCACGTGTCTATAACCCATCTTCCTTAGAACACGTGTCTAAGTTCTGTCTTCCTCACAGCAGTTGTCTATTAGTCTATCTTCCTCCCAATTTCTATAACCCATCTTCATTAGAACACGTGTCTTTTAGTCCATCTTCATCCCAACACGTGTCTATAACCCATCTTCATTAGAACACGTGTCTATTAGTCCATCTTCCTCCCAACATGTTAACCATAATACACTTGTACGTAAACTTTCTTCCTATCTAAACAAGTGTATGTTAACCTTTCACACGCACGTTAATCATCGGTATAACTTCATACGTGCTTCTAAAACCTGTTCCTGACCAGCTGCTTGAATCTTCTTCCTACTAATTTATCTGTGAATACAGGTACTCAGTACACGATTCTGTTTGTCCTGTCTTATCGATGCTATGATTTTGCTGTTGGTTTTGTTAAAGATCATGATCCGTAACCATATTTCTCTTACAGATGTATCTGATAAGCCTCAATCGCTGCGTCTGACAGACATTCAATTTAACGAAGCGCAGGTGTCCTGGTATGCACCTGTGCAACAACGCAACATCACGGGTTTTAAGCTTGCGCTGACCGATGTCGTGGAAAAGGACGTACAAATACATAGCCTTGGCCCTGTCCTTCAGTTTACCTTTGAGAGACTGAAACCAGACCGGAAGTACACACTGACTGTGATGTCACAGCTTGAAGACAAACAGGGCAAGGTATCAGACGTCATGGAATTCCAAACACTTCCATTCGGTAAGTGGGTTAATGATTTATCTGCATCTGATTTCTGGATCTGTAACAAAATGGGACTGTGCGAGGATATCTTTAGTAGACAGGATCCGCAGTTTGGCCTTTCGAAGCCCATATCACTTCCAGAGGTACAACATCAAGATGTGTTAGAGGATTTTATGTGCGCTTCTTCATGTAGCTTCATATTGTGTGATGAATGAGACAGAACACATACGCCGAACACTGATGTGGACTACCATGTCTCATTTTGTTAACAGCATTTATCAGACAGCGTATTTGTACTTGAACAGGTTCCTCTAAAATACCCAGAAACAGTTGTATGTCATACAAGAATATGGATGTTACTGCAACCTGAAACAAACACTGACATACAGAGGCCTCTTGGCTTCAACATAACGTGTCAACGCATTGTTACGGTCAATTTTATGTGTCTGAATTGAAGCATAATTGTATCATCATTGAATAAGCCATTGCATGCATCATAATTGAAGAGCTGAATGTCTGGTGTTTTAATCAGTGTCGCATGTACATAAAACTCAAAGCATGCTCACTGTGTGATGAAGCATTAAATCATGATGTGAAATACATACACCCAAGTCATAAACTGTTCTTGCAATATTAACTCATTTCACACCCGAGGGGATATCAGAAGGTGTTGAACCCAGCATACACAGAACTGAAATATTGTCGTGAGTTTTATTTATTTTTCTTGTTGTTTATCTTTCTCTTGTTTATACTCGAAACAGTTAATTGATTTGCCTTTTCTGGAAGGTCAAATCCACAACAGTAGTGATTTCTTGGACAAATATTTGTAAATGTGTAGGACTTCATAAAGAATTGTTTGTATTAACGAAGTCTGTGGTCTTCTTTAGCATTGCACTGTTTGTTCAGGACAGGGTTGTTGACGATGTCAATCTCTACTTGTGTGCTGGTGGTGGTTGGTCGACTGGGCTTTACCTTCCAGACTCTTTTTAGTTATCAATATACGCTGGTGACCCGTTACTGGAAGACAATTGATAACACTATTGTACTCGGTGTTGAAAGTTGTTTCCAAGGAGTAGGGTACCTAGCAGACTAGGTCAATTATCGGTCAAGTAAATACGTCAGTTATCAGTTACGTAGGCGTTACAACAACGTGGACATGCAAGGTTCATAACTGTTTGATATCTCCACATACACTGCATGTTACATTCATGAAGCATGGGAAGCATGTCCCGTCCTTTCAGCATGAACACCATACAGCGTAATGTGAGAATGGCAATGAATGAAGCTTCCATGTTGGCAAACCTGTTTCTGGTTATGGGAATATTTGGAAACGTGGTTCTTTTTTTTAATTTTTTAATTTTTATTTTTATTGGTTCCCAGGATTACAATGTCATATGTAGAACAGTGATGTACAGACACATGGATGATGTACAGGTATTATCTCAATATCATGTTAATACACATATCAAAGTCAATAAAAGAGAAATATGACCCAGGTAAATTGGGTACATTTTAAATTCATCAAAGTACTGGAAAGAGAGGACCCCATTTATGATTGAAATCTTCTATGTTATTATTTCTTTTGCAAATATGGTTTTCCACAAAGAATATTTCTTTCAAAGTTTTTATAAATAGAGCTATGTTTGGAAGCGTATTTTTAATACTGCATACGTAAATGTGTCTGTTTGCTGCAATGATGATGTGATTTAGCAATATATTATGATGTAGAGTACCAAACCAAACCATATGTTTTGATAATAGCAGTGGATGAGGGTATAAATTGTTAAGCCAAATTTGTAGGTTTTTCCAAAAAGTTTGTGTCTCCTGACATTCCCAGTACACATGACAAACACTCTCATTTAAATCATTGCAGAAACAACATAGACTGCTATCAACCTTTTTCATCTTAAGCAATTCTCTTTTTGTATAAATTACTCCTTGTAGAAATCTATATTGAAAATCTAAAAGTTTTGTGTATATCATTGGAAATAAGTTTATCATAAAAAGTCCTGCAGCCTTTAGATGTTTTTACTAGATATATCTGACATTGGTTAATATTTAAATCCCTGACTGGTATTAAATGACAGTGGTTAAGAGTATTTTTCCAAGAGTCAGGTAATACATGTAGTAAATATTCATAATCTAAAAAAGGGCCTTTGATACCATATAATTCTTATCACCTCTTTTGAAATACTGTCTTAAAGTAGATAATTTCAAAGTGTCTATAAATGTTTTTGCATCAATCATTCTCAAACCTCCTTCTTCATAGTTGTTTTTAAATACATTCCTTTTTATTTTATCATTCTTGTCATTCCAAATAAATTTAAAAAACATTTTGTCAACGGACATGATAAATTCTGCTGGTGGGTTTGGCAAGGAATTGAAAATATGGACCAATTTGGATATTGCTAGAGTTTTTATTACTGTTATTTTACCGATAAGGGTTAAATTTCTTTTTCTCCAAGATGCTAAGAGTCTATTAATTCCCTCCAGTCTCTTTCTTGTGTTGATTACCCATAAGTCTTTAAGATCTGGTGTAAATTTAATACCTAGCACATCAAATTCACCAGTTACCCATTGAATTTTCAGATCATTACATATTTTATCCATAGATTTAGCTTTGGATCCAATCCAGATTGCTTTTGATTTGTCTAAATTAATTTTCAACGTGGTTCTTTATACAGTCAAACACCGCTGTGTCAAAGTTGAAGGAATCTATGCAGATACTTCGAGTTGTATAAAGTTTGACACAGCCGAAACATTATGCCTCAGTTAGAAATACGCAGGGTGCAAGCTTCTATTTCCAGACAACCGTACGTTCACCACATCAAAGGCCGATATGTAACGGTGTTGGTATATGTCTTGCGTAGTGCTTTACAATGGCATCTAATATGTAGAGTTTTATGTAATCACTTGGCAATGTGTCAAACGTTATGAAGAGGGCAGATTGTGAACTGTTTACTGTCATTAACAAAATTATTTGATTGGTTGACTCCATGTATCTATATTTGAACAGTTGTTGTCTCTATTGACGTCCCTGTTGTCAAGTTGGATATAGATCGTTTTCTCTTTTATTCAAACAGTTGTTTACAGACGTACAGGATCTGGCAGGATCTGTACGATCATCATATCAGATCCTGCCAGATCCTGGCATGTACGGATCATCATATCAGTGGCAACAACAAATATGAAAATACATTTTACTTGTCCACCCAAACCGTCATATAGATGAAGATGACACGTGCTTTTGGAAAGCTGAGCGATGACCATGGACGGCACAACATGCATGCAACTCCCAAGTTACATGTTGCCCAAATAGCAATTCAAGCTTATGAAAGTTGGGATTTACATACAAGAAACGTGGCATGTACAACTCCCTTTATTTCTGAAAATATTGACATTCAAATAAGTAATGAAATTCATGACCGATATGTGGTGTATCACACAATTCACATAATCTGTTTTCAAAAGAGATATTTGACCATCGACCTATTTCCACTGGCAAATGATGATTACCGGTACGGAAGAGGACAGTTTTGATGAAAGAAATAAGTATTCCTCTGAACCGAACAGAGGTTTTACACAGCAGTATAGGTAACCTTTATGCGAAGGTATGAACTGATCAGACAATCGTTTAAAAACTGTGGAAATTAACCATTGACGTTCGAACATAAGTGGATTAAACCATACACAAGACAGACCACAATCATCTAGAACAGATTTAACAAATACAATCCATGGTGATGAGAAGATATCGTTAGAAAACGTATGTATAACGGTGTGGTAGATAACGCCTGTCAACATATCTCTGTTTGTATTTGTAACAACTTTGAACCAATATAGCGCCATGCGTTTTCAACTATATATAGAAAAGGGTAGTCATCCTGTTTCACCATAGAGTATATAAGATGGAGAATGCTTTTCCGTAATTTCAAAATAGTTTTTAAAAATAATCGATGTACATTTTCCAAAATATCGACATTTGTGTAACCCCATACTTCGCAGCTATACAACATTATTGGTAAAACCATACTATCAAAACATTTAAACATACAGTCGATCAGTTGGTAGATGAAGATTTCTGAACTTTGATAATAAAGCGAACATAGCTTTTAATGCTTGGTCATGTACTGCCTTAATAGCAAAATTAAATTTACAATTTCTATGAAATTTAACACGTAAATATACATAGTCATCAACAATATCAAGCTGCTTGTCATCTAATGTAAAAACATGTTAGTTTTCTTTGCTGGTCCTGATCCAGAAATAATGACCTTCGTCTTTGAAACATTTATATTCAATTTCCATTGCTTGCAATAATTATGAAAAACATTTATCCAATGCTGTACATTTTCAGGACTGTCGGCATACAACAGCAATAATATCTTGATAATGCCAATAGTTGTTTCAATAGTGACTCCTTCACATTGAGAGAAAGACATATATGTTTCGACATCATTTAAAAATAAAGAAAATAAAAGTGGTGAAAGATTTTCGCCTTGACGGACCCCTTTTTCACAGCGAAAATATCCGGAAATATCATTATTGTAGTTGATACATGATTTGATATTATCGTACATATTAAATTTTATACCTTCCGTTGATACCATAAGAAAGAAGGTTTTGCCACAAACCTATTCTGTAAATACATGCTATTTTTTGTGTATAACATTTTGCAATCAACAGACATCATATAACATGCCATGTGTACAAGTATCACACCTGCTTGTCTGTGTAATTGCATTATGTGACAGGGGCAGAACTTGGGTGCACGAGCCATAAATCATGGTCAATGCGTTTTGTTTATGGTGTATAGCCTGATAGGTGTTAGGTTTAAATTGCATGTTGTCAGTGATCGAAGTTGTGTATTGGATATTGACTCATTAGCAGATAGGCAGGCAGACACATAGGTGTCAATAAAACAGACATTGAGTTGTCTGTGACAGAGGCACATCTATATCACAGTTAAAAATCTGACAATGCTAGTACTTAGTAGTTATTTGCTGTATTTAACGTCGCACGCACAACTAAGGTATTTCGGCGACGGGGTAGTACACTTATTAAGAAATGAGGGGAAACAAAAAATAGAAATTTTGAAAGAGTGGTGTTACTACAAAAAAAAAAGAAAAAAACACAACAAAATACAATTGAGTAATAAGGGAAATTTAAATGGGGGCCGAATTAAAAAGGTAAAAATATGAAATAGGTAAAGAGTAATAGAGATTTGGAATTTAATATAGATGTAGTGTATTAAATGGTTATTGTTATTGTTACTGTTTTTACAACCAACCCATGTTTAAAACATATTTATTAAGTGAATAATGGTAAACATATAAAAGGTTAAAAAATGAAGTTGATAAAAAGAGAGAACTAATTTGAAAAGTTAAAAGAACATATATACATATTTATAACAATTTAAAAAAAAGTGGTAAAAAGTGGGATTATTGTTTTTGTTGCTAGATTGTTTGGTATAATTTTGTATGAATGAGATATTTAGTGAGTGGTTTAATTAATTTGGGATTTGTTAGAATGTGGTTGAGATCAGTAGAGTTAGCATTGTTGAGGTACTGTTTAAAGCATTGGTAAATGGGGTTCTTTGTTTATGTTATTTTGAGCAGTAAATGATAGTGTGAGCTATTGTTTCAGGAATTTGGCAAGTGATACATTTGCCGTTTGGATGAAGGTTGATTTTGTGTAGATAGTGATTAAGATTGCAATTTGCTAGTCTTAGTCTGGTTATGGCAACATCAATTCGGCGTGTTTCGTGATAATTTTTACATTTTGTATTTAGTGTTTGTTGAATTTGGTAGAGTGGATAATGTTTTCCTATTATTTGCCAGTTATGATTGAATGTATTTATTATTATATTGTTAACTTTATTTGTTAGGTCTGTTTTGGAGTAAGGTATTTTATTTTGTTTTTTGAGTGGAGTCCAAGTTTGGCAGCTTGGTCTGCCATTTCGTTGCCATGGACTCCGATATGTGACAGGACCCAGATAAAATGTATTTGATTATTTTATTTTGGTGGTATAGTATTCTTCTGTATATGTTATTTATTTGATCTGGCCTTTTTGTTGTAGAGTAATTTTTGAGAGCTTGTATGGAGCTTAAGGAATCCGTAAAAATGCAGATGTAGTGTTTGTTTGGTCAGATGTTGTTTGCAAGGTCTGAACTATGGCTGCGAGTTCTGCTGTGAAGATAGTGGAGTTTGCTGGGAGATTATAGGATTGTTTAAGGCTTTTTGGGGGTATGTAGATGCCAAAACCAGTGTTTCCATTTTGATCTTCGGACCCGTTAGTATAGATGTGAAGATTATTTTGTGGATTGTCATTTTGTTGTATGAATGCTTGCACTTTGAAATTATTATGTATATTGTGTTCAGTAATTTTTGTGTTGTCCAGGATTTCTGGCAGTGATACTGGAGGAAGATATTTGTAATATGGGTTTGTATTATATTCTGTAGTATATATATCAAGTTGTTGTTTTATTTCCTGTATTTTGTCCAAAAGGTTTTGGGTATTTGCCCTCATTGATAATGAGATGGTTTTATTGTTTAGAGATGTATCGTGGTTTTCAGTTTTGTTTGTAATAGGGCTGTTAAGTGATCAGTTACATATTTCATCATATATCTTTCCCATTCGAGAGTGAGGTCTAGTTTCCCGCATTCTACCAATAATGCTTGGAGGGATGTTCTTGGGTTGGCTCCAGTTATACATTTAAGTGCTTGGAATTGAATGGAACTGAGTTTGTTTTTATGTGTTTGTGCCATATCTTGAAATATTTCGCAGCCATAGAGTAATTTAGATTTGATGAGTGATTTATATAGTAGTAGTAGTAATGTTTGTTTGTTGCTACCCCATCTACTATGTGATAGGTATTTAATAATGTTGAGATCTGACTTGTACTTTTCTTGTATGAACTGAATGTGTTTGTTCCATGTTAAGTGCTGGTCAAGCATTAGACCTAGAAATTTTACTGTATCTGATTGCGGTAATTCTTGTTTGTTAATATAAAGATGTACGTTTTGTTTTCTTCGATGTTGTGCTTTGAATACTACAGTTGTTGTTTTAGTGGTAGAAAGTTGGAACCCTCATTGGTTGGTCCAGTTTTCAATATGGTTAAGTGCAGCTTGAATTTGTTTTTGTGCTTTGTGTATATTTTTTTCATTAACCCATATTGCTCCATCGTCGGCAAACTGGGATTTGTTTATGTTTTTACTGAGTTTGTTGAATATATCATCAACCATAACATTGAAGAGAGTGGATGAGATGATACTTCCCTGGGGTGTGCGATTTTCTAGTGTATAGTTTTGGGAGATTTGATGGTCTATGGAGACCTTAAAGTCTCTGTCTGTTAGAAAGGCTGATACAAAATTTAGAAGTGCCCCTTTTAAACCTTTTTTTTGTAACTTTTGGATAACACCCGGTCTCCGGAGCATATCAAAGGCATTGGAGAAATCCCAAAAGACTGCAAGTGTATATTTTTTGTATTTTGTGCAGTTCTGATTGAGTTATAGATTTGTGCTAGATGATCTATAGTGGAGCAACTTTTGCGAAAGCCTGATTGAGTTGTATTATATAGATTTTGTGTTTCAAGATATTGTGTGAGGCGGTTGTTAACCATATACTCCATGGTTTTGCATATGTTAGATGTTAGAGATATTGGCCAATATGATTTGGCTTTGTTTACGTCTTGGCCTTGTTTGTGTATGGGTATGATAAGCGAATGACAACGCTAAATAATGACGTTGCTTTTAAGTATCGAACTGAGAAAGTGACTCGGTAAGAAGAACGTGTGGCGAAATAGTCAAATGAAATTATATAAACAGTTAAATCGGTAATCTACTGTCATATAATATAAAAGCTGGCGCCTGTGAAATATCAACAAAACATTAGAAAAATAGCTCACATCAAAGCCTACTCCGAGTACTCAACGCCAGCGAAGGTGTTCAGTCTTGAAATGTCGAACGCCTCACTGGTTGACACATAGCTGAGTAGATCTAGATCCTTAACAAGGTTCTTTTATGTAACGAGTAGATTATTTACTATCTGTTGTTTGTGTACACAACCAAGATTAGACTACTCCTGCTCACGACCTTATAATCCGGACATCCCGCTTCCAAGCTGCGTGAACCTATTCACTGCGCATGCGCCATGTGCGCAGTGCAGCGCAGCACAGCACAGCTATTGAAACCACTTTTCACCCCAGCTGGGGTGAATTTAACGAATCGTTTGAACTCCGATTTCGCGGGGTTTTTTTCATCGCGTTATTTTTCAACTTTATAAGTTGAATTTGCATTTTTGATAATTTGTTACTGTATGTCAATACCGAAAGGTATCAGAATCTGCAAAGGTGTGTTTTACGTTGCATGTGACCTTTACGTTAATCATATGACAATGGAAAGAAAATGAAACTAAATACATTTTTGCTTAAATGTCATGTCCAAATACAACCAAATGGATTCAATGTCTTAAAACGGTGGGAAACAGTGAATAGTAATTCACTGGATTTGGTTGGAAAAACGTGCAAATCATAACTCGCACATTCAAGACCGTCACTTGTGCAATATCAAACATCGAAACTGCTTCTTCACTGCGATGGCATCTGCATTGAAGGGACTCAGACACCAGCTTATTGGGCAGAATGTGTCCTTAAGATTGTGGGATCCGAGCATGTCAACTATACTTTTTGAGGGACAACAACCTATAACCTTTCAGAAAGATGAATTTCTGTTTTTGTACCTTGTTTCTGCTTCCAGTACACTCCGCACACATTTGAAACTACAGCGAGAATATATCTCGATCCTCTTTTTCAACATCCATGCTGATAACAGAAAGATCTACTTTGCTTCCAAACCACTGACTGAGGTCTCAAACTGGGTCTGATATAAACTGACGATCAGCATTTTACAGAAAAGTCTTGCCTTTCACTGTCGGATCCACTAGCCATACTGACCAAAGATATGGGTCGAAGCAAGGACAGATTAATTTCCAACTGCCCTGATTTCGCGTCGACTGAAAGAGGAGTTTTATTACCAGGTTGCGCGTGGATGATTGCAGGTGCAACATGACGCTTTGCACGTCAGAACCGTGAAATATCAACTCTTCATAACTGTCACTACAGAAAACAAAACCAAAGAAAGTTTACATTTGCGGCCGCGCGACTGTGGTTAACGTCTACACAATGGTGCGTTACATTGTTACAGATGTGTATGTTAACATACGTTTTACATTAAAGGTAGGTTCAACACCCATTTATATGCATGACAGAATGGGTATTTTAATCAAAATTACAGAATAACAGACTTATGGCTAATAGTGCTAAGATAGATCCTAGGATGCTTAGAGATACTACCCAGACTACCTCTTGCTTCACCGTCTTTCTGCATGGGCTCCTCTGGAGTTGGACTCTAACAGTTCCTTGCCAAACAGGAATGGGAACCATAACAAACTAGTACGAACCAACAGCATGACCCTTTGTCTATGACATATCCCTTGGCAGTTCCTGGTGCTCCCGGAAATATTCGCACAACGCCGTTGAATGACACCGCTATGCTGTTGGAGTGGACGCCAACGGTAGATGAAGAAACACGCAACTACATACGCGGGTACAACATCGTCTACAATAAACAGGGTGGCATGCACCGAGGTCAAGAGAGCCTGCAGGTTTCAGGGGATGCCAACAAGGCTGTCATCACTGCCCTCGACCCAGACACCAACTACAGGTTGCGCATTCGTGCGGAGACTCTGACAGAGGAGGGACAGTATAGCGAACCAGTCTACATGAAAACACGTAATTTACACTTTACTCTCAAACCCTTAAAATCGTAACAATGGCAGGAAGCCGTAAAGAAACATAAATGTAAAGCAGTCATTTATTCGTGTTGACAACAGATTTAACTGAAGTGCAAAATATAACCCAAGCCTTGAATCTGTCCCTGCAGTTGTGTCTGACAAACCTCTGTCTCTAAGGACCAGTCAAATACAGTTCAACCAAGCGGAGGTGTTTTGGTACGCCCCAGTCAAGGACAGGGGTATCAGCGGTTTCCAGCTTGCACTCCGTGATGTCCAAGGAGGAGCCGTGGCGGAACTACAGACACCTCCAGTCTTGAAGTTTACACTGACTGGCCTTGAACCTGATAATGAGTACTCACTCACTGTGACATCTCTACTTGGGGACCACATAGGGAAGACTTCAGACTTGCTTTCCTTCAAGACCTTACCATTTGGTTAGTTGTAAATATGAAAAACAAAATATTTGTACAAAATAAGAAGATGATGTTCGCATGAAAACATGTTGAATGATGAATACTTTTGATCAACACACAAAGGTGAATATTGTACAAATAATAGAATGTATACCTTGTATTGTATTATCACAGGACATACACTGTCCTAGTCGGGTAGACTTCAGCTCACTTTGTGTTGATGACGACATGGAAAGTAATTAAACATTTTCACTGTCACTGTTATGCAAAACATGCATAATTTCACGGATATATACTCTGGATACTTTGGGCTGATGGTTATCACTGTATGACTTCATGGAGACTCTTCTTGGCAGTTCCGGAAGCACCAGCTGATGTCACAGTAACATCTCCCAATGAAACCGCTCTTGTGGTGAAGTGGATGCCCACTGTGAATGACGAAACACGTGGCTACGTCGTGCGTTACAACGTCGCCTACAGTAAGGAGGACAGAAGCAGAGGCAATGCTGACGAAAACGATGTGCAGGTTGCGGGGGATTCCAGCATGGTGGTCATCACTTCACTTGACGCCGACACCAGCTACAGAGTACGTGTGCGGGCTGAGACGTTGACAGAAAAGGGGAAATATAGTGAACCAGTCGTTGTTCAGACTCGTGAGTTACAGCATATGCTAATATAACTTGTAAATGTTGGTTCTTATCACTGCACGATTTTTTGTGTACAAATCACTGAATATAAAGATTCTGAATCTATATATTAAACAGATGGACCATGTATAATATTTCTGTATACTCTCCATAAACAACCCATTACTGATGTCACATCGATGTGGTTGCGTTTGCAGTCGAGACCGACAAACCATATGGATTACAGGCATCCCGTATACAGTTCAACCAAGCCAGGCTGTCATGGTATGCCCCGGTCACACAAAGGAACATTACAAACTTTCATCTTGTGCTTTACAATGTCAAAGCAGGAACGGTAACTCGGAGTGTCGTATCACCCCAAACTGTGCACATTTTGTCAGGTCTCGCCGCGGACACTCAGTATGAACTCGCCATTACATCCCAAATGGGAGATCAGGAAGGGAAGACCTCGGATGTACTGCGGTTCACGACGCTGCCTTTTGGTGAGTCTTTTATAACGACTGCATCAAGTTGCCAAAAGATAGTCTAATAGTACGTGAAATGACATTTTACCATCATCGCCACCGTCCCAAGATTGATCTTAATACACCATCCTTTTCACAGTGCCTGATGCCCCTACCAATATCGTATCTCGGCCATTGAATGACACGGCTGTTCTGGTAGAGTGGACACCTACAGTCGACAATGAAACCCGTGACTACGTCGTTCGTTACCGCATTGCATTCAACAAGTTAGGAACAAGCCAGAGGCCGACCGATATGAGAAGTGTGCAGGCGTCAGGGACGTCAACCACAGCCATCATCAGCTCCCTGGACGCCGACACCAGCTACATACTGCGCGTGCGTGCTGAGACGCTGACTGAGAATGGGGCATTGAGCCAATCAATCATGGTTCGCACACGTGAGTTTTCATTGGACTCATTGCTGTTATAAAATAAAAAAGCAAGACTCATACATGAATATATTCAACAAACGAAGGGAACTTATAACTTCATGTCATTTAACTGTTTATGCTAGTGTGTGTCTGTTTTGAACCTGCACTCGTTGTTGAATGGTGTCTACGTGACTGGATTCTTCCAACATGCTTGCTTTTCAGTTGAGTCTGACAAACCACGGACAGTGAGAACAACGAATATCGAGTTTGACCATGTCGAATTGTCATGGTATGCTCCTACCGAGCAGAGAAATATCACAGGTTTTGAAGTCCTGCTGACTGACAATGTCACTGGAGAGGTCACAAGTCAAGTCACACCGCCCGGTTCTCGCTACACTCTCACCGATCTCATAGCAGATCGGAAGTACAAAGTTACTGTGACATCATTGCTTGAAGCACGTAAAGGAAAGACTTCCGATGTACTGGAATTTGTAACAAAGCCATTTGGTGAGATGAGAGAATATTGTCAACACCTCCCTTCTCTTTGTAACCATCCCCTGGCTGGGAAAAAATATATATTGCTAATTGTCGAAAAGACATTGGCACATGATAATGAGGACCAAATGTTTTGAAATCTTGAAATCTGTTCACATAATATTCTTATAATACGTATAATGTGTTAATTTGTTGGTTCGTGTAAGGTTGTAAACTAACTGTACTGTTTTGGTATGGTGTCTACCATGCATGTAAATATATTCGAATGTGTGGTGTGTGTGCATGAACTATTTTGAACTGACTATCCCATTCATCTTATCATTACTAATACCAACACAAGTTGTTAGCTGGAGCACGGGGTGCCCTGGAAAACAAGTGTGCTTGTGAAATAAGCGTAATGCAGGTTGTGCAGTGAAGATCTCATTGTGTGAGACAATACATTTGTGTCAGTTCTTTGTGATATATTTCGATCTGTCAATAACAGATGATTTATTCACAATCAAGTAGCTTTGTCCAATTCAATTGCAATGCCCATGTTGTAATAAACAGAGTTTTGACTGAATTTGATAACCTGTGATTCAGTCCCTGCTGTCATCGAAGACGTGACAGTGACGCCACTCAATCAGACCACCCTCCTTGTTCGGTGGAAGGTGCCAGACAGCCCAGGATCGCACGACTACATCAAACTCTACCATGTAGAGTACTGTCTTCTGGATCGATTCCAGAGGGTGAAGGAGACAATGGGCCTGGAGGTGGATGAGGGCGAGGACCATGTCTATGTCACGGGACTGGAGGAGGACACGGAATACAGGATACGGATGAGGTCAGAGACAGAGACTCAGCAGGGCAAATACACAAGAGGAACACGCACTAAAACATGTAAGTGGCCACATTCATGGTCAAACTGCATCTAATCATATTGGAGTCACATTGTAAATGACGCCTGAGCTTTGACGTGATAGTTGTATCAACTAGTGGCTAGCGTAAGATTCGACTAACGGGATCGGGTGGTCAGGCTCGCTGGCTTGGTTGACACATGTCATCGCTTCCCAATTGCGTAGATCGATGCTCATGCTGTTGATCACTGGATTGTCTGACTCAGACTCGATTATTTACGGACCGCCGCTAAATAGCTGGAAAATTGCTGAGTGTGGCGTAAAACTAACCTCACTCACTCACTCACTTGTGGCTAGCTTAGACCCCATTTGAGGTTATGTGATCATTGCAGTTATAGGTGTATTAAAGGCTTTGTTTTTACAATATAGGCTTACATGATTCCCTCTAAGATTCAACGAATTTACGGACTATATCATAAGGATGGGGCATCATTCACTCTAGCAGGTTATTTTTGTATACCCCATTTAATGAAACCGAAGATACATGCATTTATGAATTAGTGAAAAGCCTGCAAAGAAACTTCAATGAAGTCTATTCTTCAGATGACATTGTGCATGCACTTGGTCTCATTTTTCTCACCAAAAAGCGGCAGACAAAAATCAGCTTAAATATTAGATAAACATTTGCAGATGTCGGAGAGATAGTCCAGATGCTAATATTACCCTGAATGTTTTCACATTTATTGGAAAATAAAAGATTTATGACGTTTTAAATTTAATGATGCTATAAAATTATGGTGATAGGAGCTGTTAAATACATGAGCGTGAAGGCTGGATGGTTTGTTTAGGCTTTGATATGATCCCCTTTATGGCTGTCATGTTAATAGTTAATAGCTCATGTGCGTTTTCGAGGATCATTACACTGCAATACTTTTAATATGCTCCGTACTTATGCAACTTTAACGTTGATGTATGATGTGGGTGACGTCTGTGGGCAGTGATGTCTGAGCAGCCTCGACGTCTGCAAGCAACAGAGGTACACTTCAGCTCCATCGGCATTTCCTGGAAGGCGCCCATAAAACAACGAAATATCACCAGATTTAACGTGATAACCTTCGACACCATAGAAGGGACGGAACAGACGAGGGAGATACCACCTAAACTCAAGTTCAGGATCGACAACCTGCTGCCAGACAGAGCATATGGGATCAGGGTGTCTGCTGTGATTGGTGAACAGGAGGGACTGTCGTCCAAAACAATTGAGGTCAAAACCAATCCTTACAGTAAGTGTCATCCGTATATTGACAATCCCGACTGAGATGGCTGGGTTACAGGTTGGAGAGGGTTTTTATAAGTTGTAAGAACTTGCCCCCGAACCTTTTCACTATGTGAATAAAACATGTTTAAACTAAACTAAACAGGTTTGGTCAAAGAACCGCATCTGTGTATTTCATCCTGCAAATTGTGGTCTGAAATAAAACTCAACAAGCAGAAGTTTGATCGCAATGCTTATAGATTGCATTCTACACAGGGAAGACTTTATCGTCAGGAAGGCCTCTGGTTGGTCTAGTGTAAAGATGGTTTGTTGTTACAGCGACAGGTTGTCGCGTCAAACCACAAGACAGTAGAACACGGTACTTTCTGTCTTGCTGTTCCCAAGCTCAACGCTTGGTATTAAGGGGATGAAGGGTATTACTATATGACCGACCCCGTACTGGTACAAGCCGCCTCCACCCGCCAGTAACGAACACCAGTCCCACATAAACAGTATACGAGTAGATATACAATAAGCAGGAACACGGCGGGACATGTGATTAACCTCACCTCACATAAGAATCTAACTATGCTACTATGCACTTAGTATATCGTCAGTTGTATGCACGAATTCGTGATGCAGAAATTGTGAATGTGACACAAACATATCCTGGTCATCACATATGCAGATGTTTGTTCCAGTTCCAAGGGCTCCTACGGAGGTGAAGGCCCACCCAGTGAACGCTACCGCTGTGTACGTTGAGTGGAAGGCACCCGATGACCTGTTCGCAAGGCAGTACGTCATCGGCTTCAACATCCAATACGACCGGTCGCGATCCCGACTTACGGTTGAGAAGTGGAGTCTTGTGGAGCATTATGGGGGAAAGCAAAACTCACTGATTACCTCCCTTGAACCCGACACGGAGTACAATGTGGTGGTGAGGGTGAACACCAAGACCGAGAAGGGAGATCTCAGTCGGCAGATAGCAGTCAAAACCAGTGAGTTCATTACCCTAAGCCTCGAATCATGTCGAGCAGTTACACATAGCACTGTCGCAATGCACAGTCTCAGTGGATTTTGCGACAATTCGGAAAATTGTTTAAGGCATAATCTATACCATATTAATCAAATGCATAAGTATCAAGTGAGAAAGAAATGTCGATGCACCATGCATATTTTTATGCATATAAGACTTGACCTGTTATTATTAGTGCAGCAATGCATCTGCATCTCCAACCCTGAATTTGTTGGCACTGCCTGTCCAAAGAGCTGAATCTAGACAATAACAATCAGGGATTACATCCGCTGAACACCACGACCGTGTATTAGAAATTCTTATGGTTTTATATTAAAGTGGTATCGGCTGAGCCTATGAATCTGAAAACAACACGGGTGACGTTTGACGAGTTTGACTTGACCTGGGACGCCCCCGTGGAAGAGAGGAACATCACTGGATTCGCACTCTACCTCACAGACAGAACCAACAACAGCCGCATCCGGGAGGAGATTCCTGCTGTCCTCACACACACATTCCAGGGTCTCACCCCCAGCACAGTCTACCTGGCTGACGTCGCCTCCATACTCCACAGTGGGGAGGGCATATTGTCACTACAGATTCCAGTTGAGACAGCGCCCTTCAGTAAGTATAAACTGTACAAGAGGATTCTTTAAGTGAACACATAAATAATGTTTGGATGATTTTGCTGTGAAACAGATAATTTGTATCATACAATTGGTTAGTTTCTCGGTGGGATAATTCCCAACTATAAACGGTAATTGTGTTTACAAACTATCACGACGTCGGTGGAGTTACAATCGGCATGTACATATTACTGCGATAGTTTATATCATTATTGAAATATAGAAAACCAGTATAAAATATCGAAAACCATTGTCTTACAGGGGCGGAAGGGTATTTTAACAAGTGAAGGCTTAGAGAATAACCCACGAGGTACGAGTGATTATGGGAAAATGTACCGAGTGAAATTAATGTTCACTGTCCCGAGGTTTAGCGTGGGACTTGAACATTAATTCCACGAGGGACATATTTCCCGTAATTACACGAACATCGTGGGTTTTTCTATTTATTATCCAATCTGTAATTAAACCGAGAAACCTGTATTTATGAACTCAAAGCCTCATCTTCTTATGTAAGTGTTTACAGCTAAATCAGCTGATCGGTATTAATGCGCGGATGAAACCAAACTGCTCAAGTCGAATGGAATCGCATACGAACCACAATATAGCACTGTAGAAAACGGTATGAAAGACAGCACAATTCAACAGTTTCCAAATTCGTTTGATTGCGATTGTATTAGCCACACCATTTTGTAAAGATTAAGTTCAACGAGTACAATCACATATTCAATATTTAGTCGTAGATCGCAAATGTGTCGATCTAACCTACTGGTGTGAGAAGCAGGGTGACTGTTGTTGGGTACAAAACAGCAAAAAAACTGTCAATGTTTTAACATTTACTTATGAAACAGTGACAATCTGCAAGGGAACAATAAAACGCAGGAATAGTGAACCTTATTTTTGAGAAGACGGTACACAATTATGAACGTTTGGCAACATTTTGCTGAAACGGACTGTGACCTAGTTTGGGCTCGCGCCTGTCCTCGTCAGGAACGATAACTCTAAATTCAGTCGAGTCCGAGTCGACATCAGTTTTCGTTCGCAGCCAAAAAGGTGTCATTGTCATGGGCAAAGGTCCATGTAAGATCCTAATGGACCAGGTCACGGACTTTGATTGGCGTTAACTGGGTTGCCATGTTTGTTTGCAAAAGACGATTTTCTAACTTTTGGACAATTTTATATTACAAAACATGTTGTTAAGTAAACGACGCCATTTCATCAACGAAATGTCAAATAAAGCATTAAATTAGCATCAAACTCCTGTATGTTTTTTTGTTGTTCTATTTTAAATTCGAATCAGTGCAATTACAGCACGGCCAGTTCACCAATGAATTGGTGAAATATTATTAATGAACGTAGTGGTGTGAAAGGATTTCTGGCATCCAGTGAAAATGTACTAATATACGATCGACCAATCAATGTCGAGAATCACGGAATTGCACATTGTGAAAATAAAAAAAAATTTTACACGGGGTCTCATCACCCGCATAGGTAAGAAAACCATGTAAGCATAAACGCGAATTATGCTTAGCCACACTGCTAGCAGGCGCGGTTTGATTCCAGATCTGTGCTTGTGGACATCTGCAGTTTATAGTCTCTTTTCTAGGTTGAAAAACGTAATAATTATTGATTTGGCCGAAAGTTTACCTTGTTTCGTTTAGTTGCTGAGTGGGACTTCATTCTAAACGTCTTGACAGGACGGCAAACGGAGAACAAAGGGGACGTTCTATTGATTAGAGTTAGCTCCCCTTTTGCAAAGGACAGTTGGATGGATTGTTGTGAAACACGGTCACCGGCCGACACTGAACAAGCTGTCGTCTTTTCGGCTGTATATACAATGCAATGGCAATACATTCACTGTTTTCACAGGAAGACTGAATAATCACATAAATTCTGACAATTGTGTAAGGCAAGTCAGCAATCCCTACCACCCGATCCCATCAGTCGCCTTACATGTTCGCTGAAGACAATTTCTAACCCCGATCTTCACGTGTCATCTGTGATCTGCGCATACCTTTTGAACTTTCTGTCATCATTGCTTCATCTGCATTAACAATTCGAGTGTGAACAATTATGTTACTCCAAAATGTCACATTGTTTCTTTTAGTTCCTGATGCTCCATCCGAGGTCCAGGCGAGGTCATTCAACTACTCTACCATAGCTTTCCAGTGGCAGCTCCCAGACGACCGCGCCTCCCGCGTCTACATTAAGGGCTCCCAGATCCTGTATACCAAGCTGAGTCGGGATGCGAGTCCCCCTGTTACTAGGCAACACCAGGTGCTCGGTAGGGGAGGCTCCGATCTTCTGACGTCACTCGAGGAGGACTCCACGTACACTGTACAGATTCGGGCGTTCTCTGACACAGCCGAAGGGAAACTGAGTCGGGCCATCACAATATCAACGCCTCCGAAAGGTACCCGTGTCTTCATAATATCTACCTTATACATTATAATGTCCACCCCTCCAGCAGATAACGGTGTCAACTACCAATACCAGGGCCTCTGACAATTAACTATGTCATCACAACACCCGCTCCTGTATGTCAACACAATATGATTCCCTGAAAAGGGTGACTGAGTCATCAATGTATTAGTCTCTGGCACTACGTTAACCACCCTCTGACAGATGACTGTGTCATCCCATTATCAGTCCATCTGACAGGCTGTTGTCATCACAATATCAGTCGCACTGACAAATGACTGCTCGGTGACAATATCAATCCATCTGACAGGTGATCGTGTCATCACAATATCAGTCGCAACAGGTGATCGTGTCATTACAATATCAATCTGACAGATGATCGTGTCATCACAATATCAATCCCACTGACAGGTGATCGTGTCATCACAATATCAGTCGCACTGACAGGTGATCGTGTCATTACAATATCAGTCGCACTGACAGGTGATCGTGTCATTACAATATCAATCCCACTGACAGGTGATCGTGTCATCAGTCAATGATCGTGTCATTACAATATCAGTCGCACTGACCGGTGATCGTGTCATTACAATATCAGTCCACTGACAGGGTGATCGTGTCATTACAATATCAGTCGCACTGACAGGTGATCGTGTCATTACAATATCAGTCCCACTGACAGGTGATCGTGTCATTACAATATCAGTCGCACTGACAGGTGATCGTGTCATTACAATATCAGTCGCACTGACAGGTGATCGTGTCATTACAATATCAGTCCCACTGACAGGTGATCGTGTCATTACAATATCAATCCCACTGACAGGTGATCGTGTCATCACAATATCAGTCGCACTGACAGGTGATCGTGTCATTACAATATCAGTCCCACTGACTGATCGTGTCACAATATCAATCCACTGACAGGTGATCGTGTCATTACAATATCAGTCGCACTGACAGGTGATCGTGTCATTACAATATCAGTCCCACTGACAGGTGATCGTGTCATTACAATATCAGTTCCACTGACAAATGACTACTCGACGGCAATATGAATCCCTCTGACAGGTGATCGTGTCATCACAATATGAATCCCTCTGACAGGTGATCGTGTCATCACAATATGAATCCCTCTGACAGGTGATCGTGTCATCACAATATGAGTCCCTCTGACAGGTGATCGTGTCATCACAATATGAGTCCCTCTCTGACAGGTGATCGTGTCATCACAATATCCCCTCTGACAGGTGATCGTGTCAGGGACTATTATATTTATATTCACGGCCATACAGGCCAACAGGTAACTGTTTTAAAGCGCTATCCGCCCATGGAAGATACCATCGATTGGATGTTGCATGATGAATTTCTCTCTTAAATGTTTCCAACGCATTTGTTAGCCACTGCGCAAGATGTGTCCAGGTTGTTAAGGACAACAAGAATGACTCAACTGCTGTGTAACATTTGAATGAGTAATAGCTATCGTCCAAAACATGAGACAATGCTTAGGAGAAATCAAGTGATTGCAGATAACTGACTTGGCAGCATGACGCTTCCTAAATCATTGTGACGTCATTGGTTATCATGGCATCACCTTACTATTGGCATTTAATTACTCATTATCTGTACGTTTTACGCCCAAGGCATTGATAATTATTTAAATGTGTGAGAGAATGAGTTTATATAGAATCGCATCCTCGTGTTAACACGAGCTTCGAACTCATTTAGACTCATGTTGATATAAATGTAATATCAGAATGCATGGAGATGTAAGTTCCTGTATACTACCTATATATCAAATACACGAATGGAGTCTGACGATGACTTGCTGTTCATCAATAAAACCCTTTCTGTTATAGTCCCAGACTGGTCACCAGAGCTGTTGACCGCGAGTGTGGAGTACGACGCGTCCGTGAGACTGGAGTGGTACGTCCACTCTCCAAAGGCTGCACTGGACCATACCCTCAATTACGAGGTGCAGTACTTCCGCCAGCCGGACCCCTTCAGTGACATGTATGTGAGGGACCTGGAGTCTGGACCCACTATAATCGACAACCTGGAGACCCATTCCACGTACTCCTTCCGGCTGCGAGCCTACAACCCGTCTGGCACCGGACCATGGAGCAGCAGTCTTGAAGCCACACTAGACGGACCAGGTACAGACAATCCTTATAGCAGAGCTATGCCCCACAGGTCTTCTTGCATGCTCAAACAGTTTGTTGCTTAGACGGTTTCAGTGACACTAAGAACCGCTTCGAGCATCTCTAGGTTTGCTCTTATGTGTGTCTCCAAATCAGAAACCCATGAAGATCCGGGTTAGAATTGCTCTTCAGTAACCCATACTTGTCGTAAGAGGCAACTAACGGGATCGGGTGGTCAGCCTCGCTGACTTGGTTGACACGGGTCATCGTATCCCAATTGCGTGGATCGATGCTCATGCTATTGATCGCGTGATTGTCTGGTCCAGACTCGAATATGTACAGACCGCCACCATATAGCTGGAATATTGCTGAGTGCGGCGTAAAACTAAACTCAATCAATCAATCCAAACCAGAAAACTTCAAACAAAGCAGTTGATTTTTCAAATTTATGAGTGTCCTAATCTATGATATATGTACTATTATTGTAACATTAAGCGAATAGACTACTAATGCATCAAATGTTATTAAATAGAAAAATAAATTTTACATTTAGAAAATATCGAATCGGTTTATTCCAGATCTTGGGGTCGTGGATATCACACATATCAACAGGACCGGACCTTATTCCTCCAAAGTTCGCTGGGTTCAGAGGGGCAGGACGGAGTACGCCGTCCAAGGTTACCGCGTGTACTACACTCCAATCGACTACAAGTTCCAGCCTGTTCCAGGGCAGAGATTCCTTGATTCAGTGGGAACTCGGAACCGAGTAGACATTATCCGTAGTTTGCGTCCAGAGCAGTACTATTTCGTACAGGTTGCTGCTTTCGCTGACGAGGGAATTGGAAGACGCTCAGATGTTGCCTTCCTCCCTGACATGGACTATCCGCGGATCCTGCTGGGACCACGTGACACAAAGATTGCTGCCAAGCTGGCTGTGACCTTCTCTTGCAAAATCGTTGGAGAGCCAGGGTATACAGTATACTGGAAGAAAGGTCCAAAACGGATTACCAGGCGGTTATCAAGATTTCAATATAAAATAGATAACGGGACGTCAATATTAAGGATCAAATCGGCTCGGCCACGTGACACCGGCACGTATGACTGTATACTAAATGTAAATAATACATTGTACACAAAAAGTGCAAAACTGGAGGTATACGATCAGGCGGGTGAGTAGCTGTGGAACTCTGTTTATGTCACGCACTTGTGTTTGTGCCCGTCATGTCTGGCACGTGGGTTTATCTTGACACGTGTGTTTATGCCGGACACGTGTGTTTATCACAGACCTATATCTATATGTCTGGAGGTGTGCTCATATTTCTTTTGGAAACAAGAATCACTTTAGCTCAATTTAGTGTTATGTTGGGGCGGTGGAGTAGCCTAGTGGTTAAAGCGTTGGCTCGTCACGCCGAAGACCCGGGTTCGATTCCACACATGGGCACAATGTGTGAAGCCCATTTCTGGTGTCCCCCGCCGTGATATTCCTGGAATGTTGCCATGAGCGGCAAAACACTAAACTCACTCACTCACTCAATAATGTTATGTGGAAAACATATTTTTATGAGTTTTTATTCTGATCTTTGTTCATAGTCCCAAACCTATACAGCTGCACGGCATTCTAAAGCCCGTTTGTTCCTGATAGAGAATACTTCTAATGAGAGTAGATATCTCCCACAGTTATCAGCATATTCTCAAATGTGGGCCACAAATCGAAACTGAATTCAAATATGTTTTTGTTCTCCGCCACACTCTGCAATACTCCATATGTATGATCGCGGTCTGTAAGTAGTTGCGTCTGGATCTGACAATCTACTGAAACTAGTGATTGACATCATGAGCATCGATCTTTGAAGTGGAATCAAAGTATGAGTAAAGACGTTACAAGCTGTCAGTCAGTCCTTCAGTAAAAGTATGTTGAAAATATTGTTGTAGTTTGCAACACATGTTCATATCGATTAACGGACACCTGGTCCGCGTTTACAGAAATTCCATCTGGGTACCCATCCTTCACCCGTAACCCAACTCTGACGTCAGTAGAGACTGGCTCCAATACCTCCTTCATCTGCGAGGCGTCGGGAAATCCAATCCCCATCATCAAATGGCACAAGAACAACATCCCCCTCCAGGAGAACAACAAGTTTGTCATCACGCAGATCGGTAAGGCTCAAGTAGAACATTGCAGCGCTAGCTGGACGGTCTGTTGTCAAACATAGTCGCCCGTCAACTCACTATGCATTATTATTCTGTGATAACGTAGACGTAGGCCGTCAGATAACTCAACATACATTATTCAGTGAAACTGTAGACGTAGGCCGTCAGATAACTCAACATACATTATTCAGTGATACTGTAGACGTAGGCCGTCAGATAATTCAACATACATTTTTCGGTGAAACTGTAGACGTAGGCCGTCAGATAACTCAAGATACATTATTCAGTGATACTGTAGACGTAGGCCGTCAGATAATTCAACATACATTTTTCAGTGAAACTGTAGACGTAGGCCGTCAGATAACTCAACATACATTATTCAGTGATACTGTAGACGTAGGCCGTCAGATAACTCAACATACATTTTTCAGTGATACTGTAGACGTAGGCCGTCAGATAACTCAACATACATTATTCAGTGATACTGTAGACGTAGGTCGTCAGATAACTCAACATACATTTTTTCTCAGTGATACTGTAGACGTAGGCCGTCAGATAACTCAACATACATTATTCAGTGATACTGTAGACGTAGGCCGTCAGATAACTCAACATACATTTTTCAGTGATACCTGTAGACGTAGGCCGTCAGATAACTCAACATACATTATTCAGTGATACTGTAGACGTAGGCCGTCAGATAACTCAACATACATTATTCAGTGATACTGTAGACGTAGGCCGTCAGATAACTCAACATACATTATTCAGTGATACTGTAGACGTAGGCCGTCAGATAACTCAACATACATTATTCAGTGATACTGTAGACGTAGGCCGTCAGATAATTCAACATACATTATTCAGTGATACTGTAGACGTAGGCCGTCAGATAACTCAACATACATTATTCAGTGATACTGTAGACGTAGGCCGTCAGATAACTCAACATACATTATCCAGTGATACTGTAGACGTAGGCCGTCAGATAATTCAACATACATTATTCAGTGATACTGTAGACGTAGGCCGTCAGATAACTCAACATACATTATTCAGTGATACTGTAGACGTAGGCCGTCAGATAACTCAACATACATTATTCAGTGATACTGTAGACGTAGGCCGTCAGAGAGATCATCATGTATATAAGATAATGAAGATGCTTGACATCAGATAACTCGAAAATGCACCATTCAGTGACAATGTGGACGTACGTCGTTAGATAACTCAACATGCATCATTCAGTGGTAATGTAGACTTAATTCAACATGCATCATTCAGTGATACTCTTGATGTAACTCAACATGCATCATTCAGTAGTAATGTAGACGTAACTCACCATGCATCATTCAGTGATACTGCAGAAGTAACTCACCATGCATCATTCAGTGATATTGTAGACATGACTCACCATGCATCATTCAGAGATCCTGTAGAAGTAACTCAACATGCATCATTCATTTATACTGTAGAAGTAACTCACCATGCATCATTCAGTGATAATGTAGAAGGAACTCACTATGTACCATTCAGTGATACTGTAGACGTGACTCACCATGCATCATTCATTGATACTGTAGAAGTAACTCACCATGCATAATTCAGTGATAATGTAGAAGTAACTCAACATGCATCGTTCAGTGATACTGTAGAAGTCACTCACCATGCATCATTCAGTGATAATGTAGACGTAACTCACCATGCATCATTCATTGATACCCTAGAAGTAACTCAACATGCATCATTCAGTGATACTCTAGAAGTAACTCACTGTACATCATTCAGTGATACTGTAGAAGTAACTCAACATGCATCGTTCAGTGATACTGTAGACGTGACTCACCATGCACCATTCAGTGATAATGTAGACGTAACTCAACATGCATCATTCAGTGATACTCTAGAAGTAACTCAACATGCATCATTCAGTGATACTCTAGAAGTAACTCACCATGCATCATTCAGTGATAATGTAGACGTAACTCAACATGCATCATTCAGTGGTACTGTAGAAGTAACTCACCATGCATAATTCAGTGATAATGTAGAAGTAGCTCAACATGCATCGTTCAGTGATACTGTAGAAGTCACTCACCATGCACCATTCAGTGATAATGTAGACGTAACTCACCATGCATCATTCAGTGATACTCTAGAAGTAACTCAACATGCATCATTCAGTGATACTCTAGATGTAACTCACTGTGCATCATTCAGTGATACTGTAGAGGTAACTCAACATGCATCGTTCAGTGATACTGTAGAAGTCACTCACCATGCATCGTTCAGTGATACTGTAGACGTAACTCAGCATGCATCATTCAGTGATAATGTAGACGTAACTCACCATGCATCATTCAGTGATACTGTAGACGTAGACTGTCAGAGAACTCAAGAACCGAGAGGTTCTCAACACGAGAATGAATGAGGTCTCAGTGCTCTTAGAAAACCGAATTCGAGTGTCGTAAACTGACATCTGCAAGGACTGAGACACACATTCATGAGATACACGAATGTATACCTGTACACATACTTTAAAGGTCAAACCTTCTTTCACATCATAGAACTACAGCAACGTCAATGCGTGTATTGCACGTGCACCAACCAGTTAGCCACTCACGTTGCCAGAAACCATCAAATGTTTTGCATATTTGATACCAATACCCCTTGTATAGAATGGACGTATGTAATACACATTAATATCACAGCATGTGATCGGCGATATGGCATGTATTGCACATTGGAAGACGCACATCACCACGAACCATCAAATACGTATATGTGTATATTTGATACCTATACCCAAACCGTAAAATGGAGTCGTCATGTACACACTAAAATTGTAGCAAGTGCATTGCGTGAATTGCACGTCCCCAAAGCAGTGAGTGACGTAACAAACCTTGTGTTCAGTGAACCTTTACTTCATCATCTGTCACGTAACACAAGATTACAATACTAAATATTACATGTGTGGTTGCAGGTTCGATTCACATCATAGAACTGTAATGTTTGAAAATCTTGACTTCTAACCAGGACAGTATCAAAGCGAATGAAGTGAAACAGTTAAAGTAAAACCTCAAAGCAGGTCTTACTAAAGATTCCGACTCAAACCTTTCATCTAACACGAAAGAGGTAAAACATCAGACTACGTTTTACTTGAAAGTAAAACCTCCATGTGGATATTCAAAGTCACTCTCGGCTTTGACTCTGTTCGGATACTTGCTGAGAGCAAATAAACCTTGTTCTGAACAATAAAAAGACGTCAAAGGAGGTTTATAATTACAATAATAAATGAAGTTATAACTGGTCTAGCAAGCGCATATAAGGTAGTTGTCTGATGAGCCACGCGCTCACAGGCACGCAGCAAGGCGTATTCGAAGGCGAGTGATGTCACGTGATACCTTTATGAATGTCATCGTGGGCAGATCCATTGAAAGGTTCTGGAAACAAAATTAAAAAATATCTCCTAGTCGTGATACACTCTCCTAGTCGTGATACACTCTCCTAGTCGTGATACACTCTCCTAGTCGTGATACACTCTCCTAGTCGTGATACACTCTCCTAGTCGTGATACACTCTCCTAGTCGTGATACACTCTCCTAGTCGTGATACACTTGTCAGATGATTCAAGAATGGTTACGTAGTTGTTTCCCGATTGAAAGAGTCATCTCATTGCTTTCATTTGAACATCGTTGTGATATATAATCAAACATATTAGTTTGTTAGCTTGTACAGCAGATAGAATTATTTGAAGACGTTTAATTGTTGATGTCATACCGTTCAATCAGCTGTCGTAGCCGACATTGAGTTTACAATTTCACAAATCATACGATGAGGTTTCGAGTGACACTTGTTTTCTTAGGAGATGCGAACTTGTTAAATCGTGACTGTTAAAATATAAAAATTAGTTCCGACAATTCCAGATATTCATCAAGATAATGGCAACCAAATCGTTTATTCTTAAAAAATCGTGGAACTCTGAAACAACAAATTGACATGACAGACGTGGCATGATCAATGGTAACATAATTACGGTCCGTCAGGTTAACCAGTTTGCATTATTCTTGAATAACATACGAAGAAAATCCTGATGTCTTATTCAGGGATAACTTAAATTAAGATAAATGTGGATCGGCTGGACAAGCACTGTGTATTGGCTGGCCGTGTGTCCCGCTGTCTGAAGGAGTGGAACTTGGCTCATCTGGCAACTTATTAGTGGATACTTACCTGAAATGAATCCGGGAATCCGCTACCAGGTACCCCCTTCAGTGGTATCAATCAATAGACATCTTTGAGATACTTGGCGTTGTTCCACATCCCTTTAGTGCTGTGTGACGTTGCTAGGTGACGTAACGGTTCGGATGGTAAGCTCAGTGTCATCGTAACATGAGCTTCAGTCCCTGGACTCTCTGGTGATGATATCAACCACTTAACCAACTCGTCCATTATTTTCAGACCGCAATATTGAGAACATTTTGTTTTTCTGGGTTTTACGGGCAACAAAAGACAAACGAACAAAGAAAAATACTGTTGTAACTTAGAATCTGGAATTGAGGGTATTACTACTGTTACCCAAAATTGATTAAACAGTGTGATGACGGGTCTGTAGGTTGTGATTCGACGAATTTACTGGGATCAAAATCGTTTATAAATAAAGCTTGTATATCTTAGTAAAAGTAAAGGTATTTGTCAATTCCTCAGCTTAATAAGCAGGAAAATAAAGTTTAGGAGATATCCCTCGATAATGTCTCATTATGTCTGAACATGTATGATAAAAAGTTCCTATTCCAGCAATCAACTGTACTATTTCCATCTGGAAGACTAAACCGACGGCAGTTAGACAGTATTGTTCAATTAAATTAGCGCATCCTGCCTTTGGGCTCAGTTGAAGAATGCACGATTCTGTCAGATATGACGTCTTCCTTTTATTACCGATATCAGCTTACACCTTCTATTTCTACCTGGCCAGTTTTATGTGTTATACAAGAGCGAGATAGGTTGTCGTCAAAAATACAGATATTTGGGTAACTTTTTGATATTCACAACGTTATGTTATAACACCGCTTATATACTACTCACACTTTGCTAAGGGTCACAAAAATGCACAACTTTACTTAAACGTAGATTCATAATTTGAAATTGTATCCATTTAAAACTGGATAAATAATATGGTAACCCCTCTTTAGGCAAACAGTCACTTTAATCTAACCTTATGCACTTAATACATGAGTAACCGTTAAATGGTTTTCATTGTACCAATAAACCATTTTGCAAATCATGGAACGAGTCATTGACCCGAACACAACACCTGTCAATAGCAGATATTGGATCCACAAGATGAAATGACATACTGAAATCTAGGATCCATGCTTACAATAATCTTAGATATGTAAATCCAATTTGACCCCACATCATAGTTTTCAGTTGAAACCATGTTTATCGGTAGATCGGTGTTACCTCACACATGAGCGGTAGATCTATGTTACCACCCTGTAAAACGGTAAATCGATGTTATCGGATATCCACGTGGATTTTATTCCTGTACATGACAAATAAAACATTGTTCTGAATACCGTTTGTGTTCTCATCAGACATTTCTAAATTTGAAGCGAACAAGATAATCACACGCTAGTTTCGCCCGATATGAAAAACAAACAAACAAAGAGATAATCACTTATCACACATTTAGACGTCGATAATATGTACAGAATGCCACAGATGGAGTCGATATATGCCAGAGAGTTCCGCAAAATGTTTTACAGCTGATTATGCATACGTGCTACACTTTTCAATTAACAATCCATTCCCCAGAAACCATTGTCTAAAGATAACCAGTCTATGCGTCACCATGTTCAAACAGACAAGACCATAAAACAGACAGAACGTAACTGGTATTATTTAGATTACTTAAATCACATCTGACTGCCTCGTGCTAACATGTTCACACAATTATTGATTTTCCTTTTTGAACTTTTAATAATATTCCATTTGTATGACTCTCATAAGATGCGCTGTCTTGTTTTGCTTAAACACAGCATTGAAGTAGACAGTGAACCTCAATTGGTTTTGGATTGCCGAAGTGGCGGTAACTTATGCACATAAATCAAGCAATCAATGGTTGACAGGGAACGTGGTGTTGTGTCGTGTAGTCCATATTCACTGCCAACACATCGAATGAACATCAAAGCCCGTTACTCCGTGTGATCTGCAGGCAGTCTTCGGTGATTTCATGTTGTAGTTATATTTAATGGTGCCGGTCGCATACGATTATTTAAAGCTACATTTACAGAAAATAACAGATTGATTTCTGGGTCGCTGGAGAGACTCCTTCTGTAACAGTACTGCTGGATGTCTGAAGTAACCGTTATCTAAATACAATGACCCGGTCTGAAATGTCCACATCAGTATTGCTGCCGTCATGATCATCCATTGACGGCTTAAAACTAGCTGCATAAGATATGGACCGTGTGGACGTCTTGTGTTTTATAATCTCAAGGTTGTCCCACAATACCCTTTGCCTGCCTGGAAACGCACCACTCATTCAACAGTATTCCCCGGCGTTTTGTATCTCATTTGTCTCTCCCATCCGGTTTCTCTGCAGAAGAGAATGGATGTGAGAAGCGCACTCTGTAATATGAATCATCTCATTGGTTGATTTTGTTCATTAAGTAAAAAGGTTTGTCGTCAAGCCCTGTCCCAGTATATGGTATGCGATAACAAAGATCCCAACATCTCTAGACAGTCATCCAACATACCACTAAGCGGGTCTTGGTAACAGGACTTAGTAAACAGTTAGTACAACAAATGAGAATTTTTTTCAGACAGTTTGTGTGACCATTAACGCCTGAAAATATTTCATTGATCGTCAGTGTTGCATGAAAAGAGGACGATAAATTTATGTCATTTAATACCGGCATGCGCATACCATCTAATTTAATTGCACCAATTGTGGAGCACTGTCCCAAATACCACGAGAGAGAGAGGATGCATCGTACGATCACGAGCTCTGCGTTAACATGTATGCATCTCACCTAGAAATTCTGTTTGGTTTGCCTAATTTCATCGTGACACTCGTATGACGTATGTTATTTATGTATTAAGTACTCTTGCGCTGATAACCGATTCGACTTACAGTTACAGTGTATGGCAAGCGAGGTGGTGAGTATGGGTCTTCTGACAATTCACTGTCACATTGACCTACTTTCGTGACTTCGCTCTCCCTATCTTCCCTATCGCTGTAACGGAACCTCTTGCTTAATGAAATCTCATCTTAACCAAACTGTCACGGCGCATGAAAACAGCCAACTCTGTTTCTTTCATTGTAGGCTATATGTTCATCATATATAAGGTTCGTTCTCACCTGAAATATATTATGCATTTATTTTTACATTCACCAAATCATAACTTTATTTTGATTGCTGACTGTGGCTTAAAACAACAAGCACAACACACACCTTCTGAAATATTTGGTTATTATGACACGGGGAACACACGTGGAACTCATCACAGGAATGCTTACTCGCACCCTTACGTTTACTTACACGTGCAACACACCTTCAGTATATTACACATGTGCACCACACGTCAATTACGGTAACATGTGCGTGATGTCGTATAACAATGTACACGCCCATTATTTGCCAACTGATATTTTTCAACATCTGTCTAAATGTATGCACATTATATCTTTATGCATGCTATATGTTGTCGCGTTTATTGTTGTCGTGGTCGGTGTTGCTGTAGATCGTACATTATTAATAGATAGTTTGTGTATGTTGTTGTAGACGTGGGTGTTGTGTCGCATCATCTGTAGATATTAATGTTGAAGCCAGTGCTGTACACGATCACAAGGATGTGAAGTGAATTGGTGAGTGCGTGAATGCGTGAGTGAATGAGTGAGTGCCTGAGTGATTGAGTGAGTGGCAAACAGGTCTCCGGGGGCGCCCAAGGGACGCAACTCTGCACAGCAAGTTGCGACTGCTCTCTCTTTGGATACAAGATCACTTCTAAACTATAACAGCTGTTATTGAAGCTGGGCAGTGTCTGACACATGAAACACCGCGCTTGTTGCATACCCTGTGAACAGCATTATCATTTAATATAATTAATAATACTTAATGACTTGATGACAAATGACAAATGTGCTCACTGCTGAAACTTTAATTAAGACATTTGTGGCTTTAAATAATACAACACAACTTTCTCATCATGCATTTTGGACCCAGAGAGATCTATTTTGTCAATATCTGTATTACACGTTGAGACGCATATACTATCGTGAAATACTCTTCTATGTGTGGTACAAATGTCACTGTGTTTGTTGCAGGACGGGAGAGCAGGCTGTGGATCCTAAACGCTACTGTGAGCGACATGGGCAAATATGTCTGCTCGGCCGAGAACAGGTTCGGCACCATCTACAACTTTGATGCTCAGCTATACGTCAAATGTACGTCATGTGGAAACCAGTCTCTTGTTCTTGTCTTCTTGTGATACGCCATTGTTACGTGTTAATGAGGGGCGGTGGGGTAACCTGGTTAAAGCATTCTCTTGTCACTCCGAAGACCCGGGTTCGATTCCCCACTTGGGTACAGTGTATAAAGCCCACTTCTGGTGTCCCCCGCCGTGATAATGCTTGAATATTGCTAAAAAGCGGCGTAAAACTAAATCAATCACACGTGTTAATGTGTAATGACATATATCGTACGTCAGTGGATTGTTGCCCATGTTATCAACCATTAATTTTGTCTGGCCCCCATCCGTTTCTTTAATGTTAACGTGATATAGCGTTAATAGTGCTAACTAACTATGGGGCAAAAACACATTCACTGAGTATTGTTGCCCGTGCTGTTAATGTCAAATCTTGAAATAATGATCCCGCATTGCGCAGTGTAACCAGTTTTAGCACTCATCAGATTGAAGAGATTAACGTTTTTATCTTGGTTCGGGAAATTGCTTAAGAACGTGATTACGTTATCTTCGAGACTCTGGAGGAAATTTCTCATTTAAATTTTTCATTTGTATGATTTGTTCGGTATTTGGTTTTAGACGTGGTTGATTCTATATTTGTTCTCTGAAATGAAAGCCAACTTCAAGTGGCAGTATATGGTGTATTGAACCAATAACATAAATAACAAGGCCGTTATTCTGAGTGAGTGAGTGAATGATTTGGGTTTAACGGCGTTCTCCAGTTGTACCACTGCGTTTCTGCGTAATGTGAGAGGAATGGCGGGAGTGAGTGAGTGAGTTTAGTTTTACACCGCACTCAGCATATTCCAGCTATATGGCGGCGGTCTGTAAATAATCGAGTCTGGACCAGACAATCCAGTGACCAACAGCATGAGCATCGATCTATGCAATTGGGAACCGATGACATGTGTCAACCAAGTCAGCGAGCCTGATCACCCGATCCCGTCAGTCGCCTCTTACGACAAGCATAGTCGCCTTTTGTGGCAAGCGTGGGTTGCTGAAGACCTATTCTACCCGGGATCTTCACGGGCCATGGCGGAAGTGATGCGGGTCTCAACTATGGTGAAACTCACAAATACATGTATGGTGCTGGCAAGCCTAGAAACATTCAGGCGACGCGGTGTTCGACCCCGCAGTCATTGGTTTCTGGCGTACCCAAGGGACGCATCTCAACGGAACCTCCTTTACTTCCATTACCATTAGCGATGCAATTTAATATTTGAACATGAAATAATTCAAGACGTCATATCTTTACACCCCATTTTTTGTTCCGCCATGTTCGGCTTTCATAAAATATTGTGCATTAATCATGTGCATTTTAAAATTGCCAGTGAGGAAATATCCGCCTGAATTTACGGAGTTTCCCAAAGATGCTTTTGTGAAGCCCGGATCGAGCGTCACACTGTCATGCGCAGCAGATGGCGAGCCTAAGCCAACGATACGCTGGCTTGTTGACAAGACCTATGTGGAAACAACGGAGATTTCTACTGGGCGAGGACAGCTCGTGTTGCCGGAGGTGTATGTGTCGGCGTTGTACACGTGCGAGGTGGAAAACATCAAGGGGAAGGACAGTATCGATGCCCGCATCCAGATCGACAGGACAGGTGAGAACCTACGTCCAGAACTCTGATGTTCCTTTGTATGTTTGTTGTATAACGCCGCACTCAGGATTATTCCAGGTTTCTGGCATCGGTCCGAAAGAAACCGAGTCGGGACAAGAAAATCTCAAGGTTTCTTATTCTGAAACCAAGTGTAGAATTCCTGTCTTGAGTGTAAATGCCAATCGACAAAGATTTTGTTGGTTGGTTTGTTGTTCAATGCCGCAATGGATCGGTAAGTAATCAAGTCTGGACCAGACAATCCTGTGATCAACATCATGGGCATCGATCTACGCAATTGGGATGCGATGACATGTGTCAACCAAGTCAGCGAGCCTGACCACCCGATCCCGTTAGCCGCCTCTTACGACAAGCACAGGTCAATCAAGTGAGAGCTATTGTGAACAGAAACTGTAATGCTCAAAAGAAGTTAAAGAAAAATATGCTGTAGTTTATCTGTCGAAGAACATGTCATGACAGCTTCTTAAAAGTATTGTGTGATGAAAGAATTGAGTTTAGCTGTTTTTTCTTGTGTGTAGTACGCTTTTCGTATGTGGATCAAATTGCCACGGCGACATGGTGCTTCCAGGCATCTCAATCGGTACTGTGCAGTTGTCTACCTTAGCACTGCAAGGATCCACTGTTGTGTCTTTTGCCTACTTCAAAGCTGATCTGATTTCATTTAGGCTACCGTGCCTTAAAATAATTGGAATAATGTTCAATTGTGTAACATGTAGATATTATAATGTAGACATACTTTCGGACTGTGTGCGTAGCCTAATGGTTAGGGTGCTGAATTTGAAGAACACTAAATTTCAGTTCAGGCCTTATCTCACGTGATCAACATGCTATTGCAAGAAAAATAAGTTTAGATGGAATATTTGTGAACAAAAGTTTCAACCGCAAATCAGATTTAAATAGTTCCTCCCAAATTCAAATTTTCAACATGAACGTAGTGCGCACATGTGTTGTTTCTGTCTACAGTTAAGTTCAAAGGCGTCATTCTCCAGAAACCCATGGCAAAAGCAGTGGTAGTTGGAGACTCCGTCAGCTTCTTCTGCCACGGGGTGGGACAGCCCAAGCCCAATGTGTTCTGGGAACGGAACGGGAAGCGACTGTCCCGCCAGGACTTTGACCAGACCTACTACCTGGAGGAGAGAGACGGGATGTCGGTGTTGGAGGTGGGGAAAGTTCAGGAGAGACGTGATGAGGGCACCTTCTCCTGCACTGTGGAGAATGACCTAGGCTACAGTGAAGCGGCCACAGCACTTACAGTTTACAGACAGAACGGTACTGACATCATACCAATGTTAGATTTGTTTCACTCGATTACGTGATACCATCAACCATGATGCATTGCTCTAATACCTGAATACATCCACATTAATAATGGAATGTGATAGTGGAGTCTCTTTGGGGTTTTCCATTCCCTAAGTCGGCGCAGACCTTTAAATCGTTTACATAATTTCAAGCACAGACCATTAAATCGTTTTCATAATTCCAAACACAGACCTTTAAATCGTTTTCATAATTCCAAACACAGACTTTAAAATCGTTTTCATAATTCCAAGCACAGACCTATAAATCGTTGACATAATTCCAAGCACAGACCTATAAATCGTTGACATAATTCCAAGCACAGACCTATAAATCGTTTTCATAATTCCAAGCACAGACCTATAAATCGTTGACATAATTCCAAACACAGACCTTTAAATCGTTTTCATAATTTCAAGCACAGACCTATAAATCGTTGACATAATTTCAAGCACAGACCTATAAATCGTTGACATAATTCCAAACACAGACCTTTAAATCGTTTTCATAATTCCAAGCACAGACCTATAAATCGTTGACATAATTCCAAGCACAGACCTATAAATCGTTGACATAATTTCAAGCACAGACCATTAAATCGTTTTCATAATTCCAAACACAGACCTTTAAATCGTTTTCATAATTCCAAGCACAGACCTATAAATCGTTGACATAATTCCAAGCACAGACCTTTAAATCGTTTTCATAATTTCAAGCACAGACCTATAAATCGTTTTCATAATTCCAAGCACAGACCTATAAATCGTTGACATAATTCCAAACACAGACCTTTAAATCGTTTTCATAATTCCAAGCACAGACCTATAAATCGTTGACATAATTCCAAGCACAGACCTATAAATCGTTGACATAATTTCAAGCACAGACCATTAAATCGTTTTCATAATTCCAAACACAGACCTTTAAATCGTTTTCATAATTCCAAGCACAGACCTATAAATCGTTGACATAATTCCAAGCACAGACCTATAAATCGTTGACATAATTTCAAGCACAGACCTATAAATCGTTGACATAATTCCAAGCACAGACCTATAAATCGTTGACATAATTCCAAGCACAGACCTTTAAATCGTGTTCATAATTCCAAGCACAGACCTATAAATCGTTGACATAATTCCAAACACAGACCTTTAAATCGTTTTCATAATTCCAAACACAGACCTATAAATCGTTTTCATAATTCCAAGCACAGACCTATAAATCGTTGACATAATTCCAAGCACAGACCTATACATCGTTGACATAATTTCAAGCACAGACCATTAAATCGTTTTCATAATTCCAAACACAGACCTTTAAATCGTTTTCATAATTCCAAACACAGACTTTAAAATCGTTTTCATAATTCCAAGCACAGACCATTAAATCGTTGACATAATTCCAAGCACAGACCTATAAATCGTTGACATAATTCCAAGCACAGACCTATAAATCGTTGACATAATTCCAAGCACAGACCTATAAATCGTTCACATAATTCCAAGCACAGACCTTTCAATTGTTTACATAATTCCAAGCACAGACCTTTAAATCGTGTTCATAATTCCAAGCACAGACCATTAAATCGTTGACATAATTCCAAGCACAGACCTATAAATCGTTCACATAATTCCAAGCACAGACCTTTCAATTGTTTTCATAATTCCAAGCACAGACCTTTAAATCGTGTTCATAATTCCAAGCACAGACCTATAAATCGTTTTCATAATTCCAAGCCGTTTTAAAGTGGCACAATCACCCGCATAAGCCAGTGGAGCCTCTTTCTTGTTTTCTATTCCTAAAGTCGGTGCGGACCTTTAAATCGCTTACATAATTCCAAGCCGTCACTTTTCTGGAATGGTTAGAAAGTGGCACAATCACTCACTTAAGCCGTGAAGCAAAATCCTTAGTAAACCTTGCAGACATCATCCTCAGCTAAGTTCTTATAGATTGTTGCTCTTTGTGTATTTGAGTCAGACTGCGTTTTCAGAGAGACCTGAAGACTTCCCAACGATTACGAAACATCCTGTGGTGACGGCAGCGGCTCGGGGGGACAGGATTCGACTACATTGTACCTCTAGTGACCCGACGGCCACTGTCACGTGGTACAAGGACAGGTTCCCTCTGAAGCTAACTCAAAGGGCCAAAGTCACCATGAAAGGTACGTTCTAGCATCTCCCACTGCTGCGGACCACTTCACAGTCCGAGTTGGTCCACAGTACCATACACCTGTTGTGTGAGGCACACAAGTAGATAGCTAGGTCGCACAGTCAGCCAAGTCACTGATCCGGACCGATGAGGACTGGCGACAGTGTCTGCACTAAATCATAATACTTTATTGAAAACGACGAAAACCTTACAAACATATGACTTAAACCTCACCAGCTATCCACGGTTATGAAAGTAAGCAGGAGCCCAAATTATTTGCGGTGTTCCGACTAACCCAAACGCACTTGGAAATTCAACATATTTCATAAAAAAATGGATTAGCCTATTCAGTATACTTTTGCCACGATGAGCCATGCACACAGCTTTGATCCCCAGGAACAAAGCGTAAAGCCCAGTCCTCGTGTTACTAGCCTAGATATGGTTGAAGTATTGCTTTCCCACAGTCACCCCAGACAATGAGAAAATGGACTATAATATCTTATATGAATTAGAGCATTGAAGGCTGTATTTGTTATGTACATATATCTCTTAAAACTCTTGTTATTATAATGTTTTTTATCCGCCCTGTGTTCATCGTCAGACTGACGGGTCGGTCGCCCGGTCGGAATATAATAAATAATGGGAAAATACCCTCCCTTTGATCGAGAATCCAACAATGTGTTATTTGTTGAAGACGTGCAAACATGGATTCAAAGTTTTATCGACTATTGTGAAGTATTTAAACTGAATCGGCATCGTTGCAGAGAGCTTTGAAGACACATAAAGAACAATAGCGTTTGTTCCTGTTGTCAAATGTTCGTGCAAATAACACAGCGTGTTTTCAGGGCGGGATGATATATTTATTCAAGCATGGACTGGAATATTTATTTGTGTATGAGTGGAATAGTGATTTACGAAATGCTGTTGACACATACAACCACATACAGATGGTCTAACATGATCTTTGTTTCCGGCAGATGGAGCCAGTGAGCTCAGGATCCTGAAGGCGCGGGAGTCGGACTACGGGAAGTACCACTGTTCCATGGAAAATCAGTCTGGCATCGTGTATTCCAAGAGAGCCATGCTATACATACGTCGCGCCGTCAGGAAAGTGTAATGTTTGCCCCAGTAGTCCGTGTTGTGCCGATGCTCGTGTTGTTTGCGTGTACATAAGCTTCTCCATGTGCCATTGCTGTGAAGAATACATGTACTTCTAGACAGAATTACACTACACTGAAACCTTCATGGCTCGAACTTCAGTAAGACGAACTCCAATAATATCAACAATCTGTTCCACACTGAAATACCCTACCATGAAACATCCTTACCTGGAACTTCAGTAAGCTTAACTCCAATGATATCAGCAACCTGTTCCACACTGAAATACTGTGCAGTGAAACCTCCTTAATAATTTCAGCACCATGCTTATCTCGTACGACCAAAATTGAAACAAATATTCGATGTTCCCTCGGACTTCCGGTTACTGAGATCACAAGATGTGCTTATGCTTGATGCAGCTCAGTAGGTGGGCGAGTTAAATGAAACTTTGGTTAAATATAACATTCTGCTGTTTGGCTGCGTATGACTAAATGACTGTGTAAATCCTGTGCTGATTGGTTCGTTATAAGGATGTAGTTACTTCACAACTCTGTCCTTTTTGCATGGCTTTGTATCCAATGACAGTACAATATATAAAGCCCGTGCATTTTGATTGGCTCAGCAGTTGTGTGACGTATCTAGTGGTTAGTTGGAGTAAGGGGCTGAGGCGTGGCAGCATTATTGGACATACACAGGTTCATTCTGTATATTTACTCAACTTCCAAATACATAGTTTCGCTTATAGTCAGTAGGCAGACTCCCTGCTGTTGACGTGGGCATGGTCAACCAGTAATTGACGTCCAGTATGTGATTAACATAGGCATGAAAAGTCCTTTCCCGGACACGATTAGAGCCCCGATCAAAAGTTTGCCTTTAATATCCCCTAAATAAGATTGATACTGAAATTATCGTTATTGGTCTCTATATGCAACAGTATGAAGGGATTCGTTTTAAGTGTTTAATACAATGAACCCAGCCTACATGTTCCATGCCGTAGTTCCCGAGGTTAGTTGTATGGTGTACCGAGGTTAGTTGTATGGTGTACCGAGGTTAGTTGTATGGTGTACTGGGGGTAATTGTATGGTGTACAAAATGAGAGCGTCATGTTGTGTCTTTGCTACTTTGTGAAATAAAAAAATAATGTCCTATCACATTGTGTTTCTCGATTTTTCAAGATAGAGGACTGCGAATTTCACGTGTATTTCATCGAATGTGGTCCCCGTTTTAGAAACTGGGCTGAGTGGGCATTCGTCATGTCATCGCAGGATCTTCTTTGATGGGCATTTAGAAGTCGAGAATGATGATAATTTTATGGATTTACTTCTTTATTCTGTGAAAGGCGACTATGCTTGACAACGACATTAGAATCTATGTCGAAACGTCGCCTTTCACAGAATATAGAAGTTGTATATCCATAAAAGTATCATCATTCATCATCGCGTGATCCTCACACCAGGCTGTACCTATTAAGGTTAGGGTTAGAATTGGTCTCCAGCAAACCAAGCTTGTTGTAAAGGCGATTAACGGGATCGGGTGATCACTGGTCAGTCTCGCTTACTTGATGACTGGAGTTGCGAAGATTGGTACACATGTATCCATTCACTCATTTGTCTGGTTCAGTCTCCATTAGTTGGAGGTCGTCGTCATTTGGCTCATATAGCTACCGTGGGGGCAAAAAGCAAACCAATCTGGGGAAAGTAAACTAAATCTGACATTTGTATATCCTTTGGGAAACGTGATCTGAAGAAAACTAAGTACCTATATATGGTTCAAAAGACACACACAATGATCTGTCGTGCAAACTGTAATGACGGACCACGGAGGAGAACTGAAAAAAACGATCGTTATATCTGGCTGAATTGGGACAGCTCGAAACAGTTTACTAAATTTGCACAATGTGAACAAAAGTTAAATGCGCCGTCCTTTCTACTCCGCTGCACTCCGTCTCCTGTCCGGTGACATTTAAGGACCGACTATATTTTTTGGTGCATTAAGTTATGAAACTGAAAAACCTGAATGGTAAACATTGTACCAAAGAGGCCGATTGCGATATTCTTGATTAATGCTTGCCCCATCCGGGAATTGTCTTGCACTGGCACTCGTCAACTTAACACCAAGAGCATTAAGAGCGGATCAGATTATAACATGGATATTCTATCCTTCTACCAAGACCAAAATACAGCTAAATGGTTTAGCGTGTACACTAACTGCAGACACCACACTAGCAGGTCAGCCCATATGTCTACTAACCCCGTTAGTGTATCTACTATGGAGAGACTACACAGAGACAACTTTTAGTTCGTTAGTTTGCTTTTTGTTTCACGCTGCACTCAGAAAGTGTCCATCTTCATGATGTCGGTCTCTAAATAATAGAGTTTTAACCAGGCAATCCACGGGCCAGTGATTGATGCCACAATCATCGACAATACAGTGTAGTTCGTATAGAAGAATCTTCTTAAAGAAGTAAACCCCTAATTAATTATACTTATTCCTGTTCTATATAACTGGTACGACCGGATATGACGTAGTCGTATGTCATCTGCAAGTGAAGTATAATTCTCTGAGAACACTAGTCAGACAACAAACAAACTGACTTGAACCTTAATAGAAAAATAAGCTGTGACAAAGTCCAAGTCACAGCTACGGTTCCAAAGCTGGGGAATGTTAAAGACGTAGTATATATGATGCGAGGAAATGATATTCAATACACGCTTATCTGCCTACAAGTCCGGTTGTGACCTGGCATATTTTCTTGGATGGTGTCGCCGAGAGTACAGGCTTTAGGATCCGCACGGCAACATGAGGTGAGGCAAACGTTGTTGTTTTTTTATTATTATTCGTTTTAGTTTAAATGTGCTTCTTTTTAAGAGAGTTTGGCGCCAATTAACGAAGTGTCCTTTGCGCTATGGTTTGCATGGTCTTAGCACAGTTATATCGTTCTGAGATCAGTCTTAAGGACCCAGTAATCCAGTGAAGTCCTAGTACCAAAGTAAGGATCTTGTATAACAGCATGGATCTTGTACCATAGTAGGGACCTTTGGTGTATTCATAATACAGCCCTAGGACCTCACTGACTGGCTTGAGTGTGGTTTTCCACCGCTTTTAGCTATATACCAGCAATGTCTCGTCGGAGGACATCAGAGATGGGCTTGTAACATTATACCCATGTGGGGAGTCGAACTGGGACCTTAGTGAGGATCTTGTTCAACAGTAAGAACATTGTATCAGAGTAAAAACATTGTACCACAGTATTGTAGTGACAGTGAGGACATAGTGAATGAGTAAGAACCTACTATGTGAACCTAGGGACACAGTGAGCACCCTGTAGCACAAGGTCCTCGTAACACAGTCAAGACCTTGCATCAAAATAAGGGCCTCGGTGAGGATCCAGAGCGGATCACGGAGAACAGATTGTCATATTGATCGCACCGGGTTTCATTCAGAAAACAAGTTTTTAGCCTTAACCGTAACAGGTCTGCTTTAACACATAGTAGACTTGGTCTATTTGACCTGGGTCCAATACATGGCTGCAGTGATGCCGACGTGAGGCAATGCACCATGTTACCTCACTCTCGTGTGACATAACTTGTCAAACAATGAATGAAATTCAACACATTTCAGCCAGACATTCCATTAATTTCTTTTCCCCAAGATATTGTTTTGTATTTGATGGATTTCTACTACGATTCCTTCTGAAATAACACGTTAGTTTCGTATGGGGCCATCGCGTCGGAATACACGAGGGCCGATGTTGGCGAGATATCACACGTTAAGCGTTTCCGGTGAGTGAATATCTGCACCATAGACACAAGCTTCTCGTGTAGTTGCCATCCCCGAGGCGCGCCATGGGGAACGTCTGTGATGAAGTTCCTTCTCAAAATGCCATTCCAAAACAACTTTTTTCACTTGATTAAGATGCAATCTGACTGAAGATCGCGCTTTTTATAAGGAAGTGTATGGTCAGTGGAACTGACTTGATAAAAATAAATAAACAGTTATGGGTTGCTGGTTGTAATGTCCTAAATTGTATAGGGGGAGATGGAGAGGACTTTTCATAACAATACGCTGCAACTTTAAATGCAATAAAACCAAGGAGCACCGTCGTGAGTCTGTTAGTGTCATCCCAAAAAATTTTCGGTTGATCGCGTTGTGTCAGTTCAGTGAGGAAGATATCCTCATGTAGCGCAAGTCTTGAACATATGCTTTCGAACCGGGAATAATAGGCTGATCGCTATCCTGGCCATTCAGTGTCATGCAGAACAGTGCATGCCCAGGGACGAATGCCCCATCGTCAAAAGAAACGCCGAATGATTGTGATCCAGCAACACTCCTTCAATGTATAACGAGTTGGTCATGTAATCAAGGGCAAGTTTTATCTGACTGTCGTTATTGATAGTGGTGGTCGTTTGTTTGCACTTCACAGTTATAAGTAATTCTTCCCTTTTAGTCGCACGGAACTCCAGGATTATCGTTCTGTATATGGCGTTGAAGGGGTTGAATGGGTTAATCGGATGGCGTCGTTGTAATGAAAGACAATGAAGTATTTGGGTTCAGGTCACAGGGACCTGATTTGAATAAATTTAATATGATAAGAGTTGTCAGCGCGGGTTTGCCCCAGTGGCCTTACAACTCACTTACACTGTGACTTGCGACATGATCCGATCCAGATTCACGAGGCTTGCATTCCTTCAAGTGCTTTCTAACTGCGCATTGCACTATCTCTAACTGAACCACCATCTTGATCATGATGCTAAAGTGAAGAATGAAAAGGAAACGTTTTTGCCTTGGTTATAAGATTTGGTCATCCATAATTTTGTATGTTTCTCGTGTCCAACTCAAAATAATCAAGAAGCCGGCGGGCGAACAATATATGTACGAATAAAACTAAAATATTTTTAATAATTGTGTAACTTATTGTATTACATTTAAATATTTAGATCACTTGGTCATAATCTTAAATACATTTATGATATTGATCTAGTAGCTTCGCTTGGGAAACAATGTTTTGATAAGTATTGATAAAAAAAGATCAAGCTGATCTGTTCATGTAACCATGTACATTTGTAACAGTATTTTTCCATAGCGCCAGGGTATAATTTTCCTCAGACGGAAAATAGAAACGGGAAGCATCTTATGTTATTTCACGTCAGAATGATAATTCAGGGCGGTCAGGAGATGGGAAACAGATGGAAGTACGGACAGTCTAACAGAATATCCTCTCTTCCACTGTTACCAATGTCAAGCCTCCAAATGTTTGAAATGATTGACATGCTTTCACGATTATGTTTCAGGTGTATGGCACTGACGTTTGTAGCAGCCTTTGTTCTTGGTGTCGCGTCGTCTCAAGACATCGCTCTGTCCCCCAGTGGTATGACGGTTCTCAAGGTGGTTTATGGGGCATCTTGTGGCTCAGGCAGAATCCTGGCAGATGAACAGTCACTTCTCACAGATTATGTGAAGGCTCTCTGTGACGGCAGGGACGTTTGCTCGGGCATTGTAGACGTGGACGTCTTGAGCGGTGCCATCGGCAGCTGCGACGGCGACTTCCACGTGGTGGCTGTGTGTGAACATGGAGAACTCCGCTCCTATGGTGTGGATGGGGAGGCTGCGGGACAGGAGTTCACCATTGACTGCAGTAGTCGGGAAATCCCCGCCGCCCGTCAGCATCCGGACTGGATGGGAGAGATGGAAAATGTTCTGGCAAACAAGACAATCAAAGAGCTTCGTCTTGCGGGCACACACCACAGTGGCACGTTCTCATTCGATATGTTCCTGTACCATCTCGCCAAGTGTCAGAGCATCCGGGTAGGACAGCAGCTGATGGCGGGTGTGCGGTATCTGGACTACAGGCTTGGGGCGATGGAAGAATCTTATGGAGCTCGAGTTATACACGGCGTCTTCTACGGACAACAAGCTCTCACGGATCTCCTGGAGATATGGGCCTTCTCTCAGCTTCATCCCAGGGAGTTCTTTATAGTTGACTTTCAGCATACGTCAACACTTGAAACATCGATGCAACGCAAGCTGTCTGTGTGGCTGGATGTGCTGTTCAGGGAGACGGTCATCAACAGATGGACAATCCCTCTCACACAACACACAATGAGGGAGGTATGGGGGTCGGGAAGACGGGTTTTGTTCCTCCACGACAGACCCAGCTCATCCCAGGTGTGGCCTCGTGGGGTGTTGTATGCCCGCTGGCCAAATGTGTGCACTGGGGAAACTCTAGCTGATCACTCGGACAACGAATTGTTCCAGATTCACGTTCACTATCATCAACTGGTTGTACTTCAGTGGGTGATCACGGTGAAGTTCCAGTGCTTGACCAGTCTTTATGGGCGGTCCCTGGACATCCGAGAGGAAGCCATGCAGTGGCTCCAGCATAACAACCACCCGTTTACCATCGTCCTGACAGACTTTACCCTCCAGCCGCTGGAGGAGGAGGGTATAGTGGAACAGATCATCGAGGCCAATAGACATGTGGGCACGTACTGAACAAGTTCCTTCTGATGGACACTTAAGGTGCGAAGACATAGCAGATAAATTGGACGAACATTTTGTGAACGACACCGTTCATTATCCAACTTATTTTATGTTTCTTATGTTATGATATGATATTTATGTATTCCTAGCTTCGTTTCACTGCTCCTCCATCTTCGTTCCGGAAGTGACGTCATCACGTTCCCGTTCTTGACCTTATACCAACAATCGATCCAAATTGCCTTTTCTATTTTCTAAGTTCGACATGGCCAACAACATTCAAAATCGCAGCCTCTAACTGGCGAGCCTTGTATATGTTCAGTTGACACAGGTTTTGACATTTTAGTTTGCACTCATGTTATTGCAAATGACAGGATGATGTCTTCACTCTTCAAGACATTCCTAGGGGTAATTGTGACGGTGCTCAACATAGAGATATCGCCACATGTATGAACAGTATGAAATGTTCGGGCGGTTAAATTCAGCGTCGTATGATTCAAACCGGTCTGAAAACGCAGCCTTAATTGGCGAATGGTACCAGGGTTTATATCATATTAGAATGAAGACAATTCACTTGCTAATCGAGAATGAGTGAACGAGGACATTTATTGGCAGTGTTTTTCACCTTGATGGACGTCGTTGATGATATACGTTGACAGTAATTGACTGAGAGCGTTGTAATGAGGCAGTGATCAGGGCCGGTTCCTGAATACAGAATTAATAAACTGGGGAGCAAAAACAATGTACACCCAATGTTTGACAGAAATGGTTTTCATTGGTGATGTATTTAATGTGGGTATTATAGTTACAGCCTTTTGTAGGCGGTGTCACGCGGCTGTTTAACAATTTGATAACGTTCTAGTTCTTTTGGTCAAATCCTCTTTTAAAATGAACAGGGGCGGTGGGGTAGCCTAGTGGGTAAAGCGTTCGTTTGTCACGCCTAAGGCCCGGGTTCGATGCTCCACATGGGTGCAATGTGTGAAGCCCATTCCTGGTCCCCCGCCGTGATATTGCTGGAATATTGCTAAAAGCGGCGTTAAACCCAACTCACTCACTTTAAAGTGTACATTTCGTTTGTATGCAGTTGAGTAGTTATGACTGGAAAATCAGCCTAAATGCAAGTGTAGATGAAGCAAAATTGATATCGTTACATCTGATGCGGAATACCCAACTGACTGTATATGTAGGGTGTATATAGAGTGTGAAAGCTGTTAACGTCATTAATGGTATGTCTGTCACTGAGTCAGTGTTGAGCAGTGCCGTGCAGGGTCACATCCCTTGGCTACATGATTTGTTGTAATATGATTTCGACACAAGAAACACTATTGAAAGCAATTAATTGTTTTTATGAGTTTGCTTTACGAAGGCAATAGGTACCCAAAATGGCTGAAGGTGTCGGAATTTCCCTATTGTCCCATCAAGGATGTCCGTGCATGTATTGAACAGTTTGTGCCGATGTGAGAGTATGTCATACTGCGAAAGAAAAGGCGACTTAAATATGCTTGAATATATATAAGTGGTAATACTAGTAGCGGTAGTGTAGTAGAACTAGTAGTAGTTGCAGTAGTAGGTGTAGTAGTAGTGGTAGTAGTAGACTGAGGAAAAAGAATGGGACTGATGCAGTTTTCGGTCACGTATTGTGCCTGTACCACTGACGTATATGTGTGTGGCCGCCATTTTGGTTTCAATGTTGTTGTTCTCCACGCGTTTCCCTTAGTGCCACTTTGCGCAATATCACATCTGGCACACGACTATTAGACAAGGAACAGACATTTCATGCTTGCTATTTCTTCATCTATTTGAGATGATTATGTCCGGTAATATCATACCTGTCTACATCGTCAGCCCCGGGGACAGGTGTTAGTCATTATGGAATTACTGAGGCTGATTAGTCTTGGGCAGGGAGTATCAGAAAATGTTCACATGCTTGTGAAGGTATAATTAAAACTCATAAATACGAGGGACACATATGTGAGAGGATGGAGTTAGGGAGACACGCTGGACTGAGGGATAGAATAGTGGTTGGATGGGTTTGGAGACTGAGATTGGGTGTTCATAGTGATGGAAAGGATTGGCTGTGACGGTGGATCATGGGCTGGAAGATGGGCAATGGGTTTGGGTGAAGTATTGTGGACTGGTCGGGTGGGTCAGAGAAGTGGCGCAGTGAGATGGTGTGTTGTGTTGAGGACTGGTTGGGTGGGTCATAGAAGTGACTCAGTGAGGTGGTATGTTGTGTTGAGGACTGGCCGGGTGGGTCATAGAAGTGGTGCAGTGAGGTGGTATGTTGTGTTGAGGGCTGGTCGGGTGGGTCATTGAAGTGGCGCAGTGAGGTGGTAGAGAAGTGGTGCTCTGAGGTGGTATGTTGTGTTGAGGACTGGTCGGCTGTGTCATAGAAGTGGTGCAGAGAGGAGGTGTGTTGTGTTGCGGAGTGGTCGGGTGGGCTATAAAAGTGGCGCAGTGAGGTGGTATAGAAGTGGTGCAGAGAGGAGGTATGTTGTGTTGCGAACTGGTCGGGTGTGTCATAGAAGTGACGCAGTGAGGTGGTATAGAAGTGGCGCTCTGAGGTGGTATGTTGTGTTGAGGTATTGTCGGATGGGTCATAGAAGTGGCGAAGTGAGGTGCTATAGAAGTCGCGCAGTGAGGTGGTATGTTGTGTTGCGGAGTGGTCGGGTGGGTCGTAGAAGTGATGCATAGAGGAGGTGTGTTGTGTTGCGGAGTGGTCGGGTGGGTCATAGAGGTTACGCAGTGAGGTGGTATTGAAGTGGAGCAGTGAGGTGGTATGTTGTGTTGCGGAGTGGTCGGGTGGGTCATAGAAGTGGTGCAGAGAGGAGGTGTGTTGTGGTGCGGAGTGGTCGGGTAGGTCATAGAAGTGACGCAGTGAGGTGGTATAGACGTGGAGCAGTGAGGTGGTATGTTGTGTTGCGGAGTTGTCGGGTGGGTCACTGAAGTGGCTCTTTGAGGTGGTATGTTGTGTTGAGGACTGGTCGGGTGTGCCATGAAAGTGGCGCAGTGATGTGGTATGTTGTGTTGCGGAGTGGTCGGGTGGGTCATAGAAGTGGCGCAGTGAGGTGGTATGTTGTGTTGCGGAGTGATCGGGTGGGTCATAGAAGTGGCGCAATGAGGTGGTATGTTGTGTTGCGGAATGGTCGGGTGGGTTATAGAAGTGGCGAAGTGAGGTGGTATGTTGTGTTGCGGAGTGGTCGGGTGGGTCATAGAAGTGGCGCAGTGAGGTGGTATGTTGTGTTGCGGAGTGGTCGGGTGGGTCATTGAAGTGGCTCTTTGAGGTGGTATGTTGTGTTGAGGACTGGTCGGGTGTGCCATGAAAGTGGCGCAGTGATGTGGTATGTTGTGTTGCAGAGTGGTCGGGTGGGTCATAGAAGTGGCGCAGTGAGGTGGTATGTTGTGTTGCGGAGTGATCGGGTGGGTCATAGAAGTGGCGCAATGAGGTGGTATGTTGTGTTGCGGAATGGTCGGGTGGGTTATAGAAGTGGCGAAGTGAGGTGGTATGTTGTGTTGCGGAGTGGTCGGGTGGGTCATAGAAGTGGCGCAGTGAGGTGGTATGTTGTGTTGCGGAGTGATCGGGTGGGTCATTGAAGTGGCTCTTTGAGGTGGTATGTTGTGTTTAGGACTGGTCGGGTGTGCCATGAAAGTGGCGCAGTGATGTGGTATGTTGTGTTGCAGAGTGGTCGGGTGGGTCATAGAAGTGGCGCAGTGAGGTGGTATGTTGTGTTGCGGAGTGATCGGGTGGGTCATAGAAGTGGCGCAATGAGGTGGTATGTTTTGTTGCGGAATGGTCGGGTGGGTTATAGAAGTGGCGAAGTGAGGTGGTATGTTGTGTTGCGGAGTGGTCGGGTGGGTCATAGAAGTGGCGCAGTGAGGTGGTATGTTGTGTTGCGGAGTGATCGGGTGGGTCATAGAAGTGGCGCCGAGAGGAGGTGTGTTGTGGTAGATGAGGAACTGTGGAGAGACTTAGGATAAGGAAGGATCTGTCAGCTGTGGTGTGGTGGTGGAGATGGAGGGCGTGGTGCCAATGGTGGTGTGGAGTGTGGATAGGGTGGGAAGCTGATACAAATGTTTACGCTGCTGGATTAACACTCTGCGATCATGTGTGATTGGTATATAAAAACATGCATTGTTTTTGTGTCAGAGATTTTAGCACGCTTAATATATAGATAATATATTAGACCTTAACTGTCTCGTGGACATATGTCATATCTCAGGTGTACACGTTGAATCTTTCCGTGACTTATATGTCACCAGCAGCACAGACGCCAGTACAGACTATATCATCCTCAGTATGCGGCCTATATGGTATATGACACCTGATAAGGAGCAGTCCGGGCTCCTTAACGGCATGGTAATCTATCCTTATTATGATTAATTTCTTAATTTCGACTCCTGATATTTTCATGCGGAGACATACCTCTCAATAATTTCCTCTGCTGGTGCCATCTTAATCTTTCCTGCGTAGTAATCCCAATCTTGTCGTAAATATAACCCCTCCGCTTGCCTTCATACGTGATCAGAGTTGTGATATTGGTAAGTCGAGGCAATAAACAATCAGGTTTCGGACAGGTGTGGTCTTTAAGTGATTGATTTGTCACTTAAGACCATTGCTAGAATGGCAGGAAACTATCACCGCAAATTGAATTCATTCGATATTCTAGCTGCACACAATTTCTACTTAGAAAAGTTACATCTACATGGTAAACATAAACATGTAGTGTTGTACTAGGTAGTGTACGTTGTACATAGTAGTGTACGTTGTACACTGGTAGTTGAACGTGTCAGGAATTAACAGAAACGTTGGTAGTATTTTGACTGGCTTTATTACTTATTACCTGACATCACGCACGCCCATACAAATACCAGTTCAACACTACTAAAACCACTATTCAGACTAGATGACATACATGTATGTAAATATAGATCCACATGAAATGGAGCACCATATGTACACTCGTACACAACACAGACCACACACATACCCTTACGGCGAAACGTATGCATATAAGTATTTCCTACCAAATTGAGTATCTTGAAATTCGTTGTCTCTACAAATCTCAGGAAAAGTGTCAACGTGGCCAGGTTATCTTGTTTACTACCTCCCGACAGGGTTGAAATGATACATAGTAGAATACAACTTTTCTTTTCGAAATCTGTAGTTTGCGAATGATAAATGAGAACTGTGACGTTGAGCAATCGGTCTGAGCGAAAAAACACAAACCAAGTTGTATGGATAGTCAGCTTCTTTATTGCATTGGGTGCGACGTTTCGGTTTAGGTACTAACACCGTTATCAAGTAAGTGATAACGGTGTTAGTACCTATACCGAAACGTCGCACGCAATGCAATAAAGAAGTTGACTATCAATACAACTTGGTTTTCCTTCATCTTTCCAACTTCTAACATGCCTCTCAAAGAATTTAATCGAGCTAAATGAGTTTGAGTAGAAGAAGTTTCATTCTTTAGAGTTCTTCTTTATTTAACTGTCAACAAACATACTCTAGGCCAAACCTTCGTTGCCAACACATCCTGCTGATGACCCCTATCAGCAGGATCTGCAGCAAACACAGTCCACCTTGGGAGGCCATAATCAAATAATTCTTAGAATTTAATCCCAGCCCGAATGACCATACACCCCCGACTTGACCACCGCATACGTAGTCCTACCAAACATGCATCACGTGAAGTACGTCAATGGACAGCTAGTGTACACAGATACCCTGAATGGTTTATCTGGACATTGAGACAATGTATAATTCATATACTATCATGTCTTCCTCTTCACAGTTTGGTTTCCTCATTTAGTGACAAATTCATTGTGATCTAAATACTTGAACTTCAATTACTCACACAATGTCCCACTCGGTTTAGTTGGATAATCCACCAATATAACATCTTCATCGCGATCAACGTTCAGTAGTGAAAAAGTAGATGAATGAAACACATTATCTAAACAAACTGCAAATCTGACAAACCTGGCTGAATTCGTTTTACCTCTGAGGGTATTTGTGCATATGGGGTTGTAATAGTCATTTGAGTCAATGCAAATCAACAATCTGACCACATTCTGATTGACCCATGGGTAGACTCAGACGTCTGCATACATCGTGTCTCTCCAAGACAGCTTTCCAACATTGTAAACAGAAGAATCAATGGAATTTTGGTTTCTGTTCTACTTGCGTTGAGGACGTTTTCTTGAACTAGACCGAGAAAATAGAATTTGGATGAATAAACAATCTCGTGATTGGTGAAGTCATGCTGTCTGGGAAATCGTTGAAAACGATCAGTTGTAAAATTAAACTTCCGTATGATGAAACTTCAATATTCGATATGCATAACCTCGTCCAACTCTGTCCCACTGTTGCAAACATTCACCTTGTTCCCAGTTGTCAGCTCATGTTTAAGCAGATATACTTTTGCATATATTTACCAAAGGAATGTCTACCAACATGTATATGGTTTACATGACAAATGTTATCATCCTGATAAGTCTTCATATCGACAGGGCTCATAGTGCCACATATGTCGGAGGAACTGAAGAAAGAAGACCATTATAGAGCCACAGTTCTGCGTTTAACAGTACGATATGCTTTGATCCCACAGCGTACACATACTCGGAAGTATATGGACATAGTGAGTGTAGTACTACAGCGAACGGCTAACACAACATACATATGTCGTGATGGATGGAGATAATACCTGTATAACCGCACCACCTTTCGTAACGGTGTTTACAGTGACATTGTTCAATGTTGGTCACCATTCTGATCGTGTCCCTTTCACACCAACATTGAAACATTGCAATATGTTCATATTCCATATACCACCATTTTGTTGCACTAAAACACCAAAATGTTCTCGTACGTCACAAATGAGCTCTGCCCTGATGGCCATGTTACTGAATGTATAAAAAAGGAGAGAATTTCACAAAGCCATTCAAAACCACGTTAGCAGCAATGTCCGTGCGTTTCAACATCTCTGCTTGTGAGCGCTGAAACATTGTCCACACGTCATAACTCATCTCCATTCCAGCACTGCATCAATATCAGTGATGTGTCCTCCACCATCTTGTGGGCACTGCAACAACTCCATTTGTTCGTAGAACCTAACTAAGGCAGCATGACGAGCAGTCTTAGTAATCAGCATGCTGTGTAATCAGCATATTGTGTAATCAGCATGTCGTGTAATCAGCATATTGTGTAATCAGCATGTCGTGTAATCAGCATGTCAACATGTGTGTAGCCATCGAGTGTTTGATGCTTCCACGACTCTCAACAGATCACTATTGCAGCAGTTATAGGAGGTTACCATTGAGTACTACATTATCCTGTGGTGACCTTACGACTCGTAGAGGCATCAGAATTCCGTGACCACGATTTTGTCCAGTGTTTTGTCCACGATTTTGTCCTGTGAGAACGTTACGACTCGTGCCGTGGCATCAGAATTCCGTGACCCCGGTATTGTCCAGTGTTGTGTCCACGGGCTTTCCTGTGAGTACGTTACGACCTGTGAAGTGGCATCAGAATTCCGTGACCCCGGTATTGTCCAGTGTTTTGTCAACGAGTTTTTCCTGTGAGTACGAAACGACTCTTAGAGCATCATAGGAATCCCGTGGCTAAGGTATTGTCCAGTGTTTTGCCCACGCCACAGTCATGTGGGTACGTTACAACAAATGCCTCCGATACGACTTAGGCTTCTGAGAAAACGGTACGACTCCTGCTTACATCATAGGATTCCGAGTCCTTCCCGATGTAACGACGTCCACTGCAAGAAATATACCGACATTAGGGAATTTAACTTAAACGATAACAAATGGGATTCTCGACTAAAAAATTCTTTGTTGGAATGATAATCTGTAGAAACTCTAACAAAAAGTTAAAAAGTTGCCCAAGTGATTCTGATATGAACTTTAATATTTGAACACTGACGTTTAACTTGTTTACGTCAGCCATTTTATCATGTGGTCGTTACCACCAACAACACATATAGTTTGAAAACTGGGCCTGTATTTGCATCCTATACTTCGACCATTAAATGGAATCTTTCTTCCGAATCTCACTTAGTCGTACCTTTACAGAGGACACATTTGGGGTAGTACACTAAATATGGTAAATGAAAATATTGTCATGGTGATCAGATAACCAATACGGGACAGATATGTTTTCAGTTGGTGCTTATATACATTATATGGATACTAGCAATGACTAATGAACTCGCAACAAAGGGCTGCGATAATTTATATCTACTTCGCTGCCGACTTCCACAATGTCAACATCTACAAGACAGAGCCTAGTCAGCATTATACGTGTACCCTTTGGTGTGGAGAGAGGCTCCAGTTCATCTGCAAGAAAGAGAGACGAAGCCATATTAATTGTACCACAAACTATTGTACTATACATATAAATAATGAACACTACAAATTAATTTGAAATTGTTATTTGACATGAACACATTTAAGACAATAATCGTTTCCCCGCAACATTTTGATGGTAGATTGCGATTTGCAATGAGAACGTAGAGTTGTGGCGGCGATTAATTTCGCCCATCGCTTTATGTCTCGCCATGGAACTCATTATAAAACACATTCAGGGAGAACGTCTTCAGGTCGTGCCTGGATGACAACTGTAAGCATTTCATCGATCTTCCACTCTTTTACAGCACACGTAAAACTACCTCTCTAGCCTTTACTTCTATGGTGACACTTCGATCTACAGTCATTAGGGTCCCTCTCATAACTTAATTGCTCAATGAGAGAAAATACCGACCGTGCTTAAATCTCTATCACCTCGTCTCCTACAGCTTGATGAAATGTAAATCAAACCTGACGTTGCTAGATTTGCGGTCGTGCGACGTTGATGACGCTATGATAATGTACTCACGGTTGTTGTATCTGCGCATATCCTTGCCATCACAAGGGATTCGGATACAGGAACACACGGACCGGAACTCCTTCCGAAACTTGCCTTTCATAATAAATATATATATATACGTCAGAAAATTGTAATACATTTTGTGAATACCTGTGTTCATTTAAGAATGCGACGTGACTTTTAGATTTTTTAACACACAACATATACACTCAAATGATAACCTGTAAGGTACGTCCAAAGAACGGAAGAGTTGACCAGAGATCTTTTATTTTGAACGTCCCATGCTTTGACCTGGGACTTATAACAAACTGTTAGCCATTTGTAACTGCATTATTCAACCTCATGACCTCGGTAGCCAGCTTGAAGTAACAACACTATTCTGGCTGATTTGACCTCATTGTCTTTCTGAATCATGACATACATGTTAAAAATACCTACCGCTCATGAAGTTGTAGATGATTGGGTTGATGGAGCTGTTGAAGTAGACGAGCCAGTGAGCTGTGAGGGTGCAGATAGACACAGAGTGTGGGTGGATCATAGCTATCAGTGGACTGTCGGTCAACCTGGAGTAGATTACAGATCAATTTATCACATCAATCCTTGAACCACTATAGTGTGTCGCATGTACTAATATACAACACATGTAAGGTATTTTTAGATAAATTAAACAGAAACAATACCCCAAAAAATGTCTGGAAATTGGTGAGTTTTTCCGATGAACCCAGCTTGACATGACTTGACATGTAATAGCCTTCAATATACTCTTAAAACGAGTTCATTTACAATGGGAGACAGTTATTCCAGGAGCCGAGACTCATTCTGTAATTCATTTGACAATGTAAGTTAGTAGCTATCTTCTAAAATCTGTTAGTTTTGCAATGAATAAGGAGGGGGTTGGTGATCAATTAGACTCATAGCATGCATCCACGTAAAAATATAACAAAATGATAATATATAACGAAAAGTAAGAAGGATTTCTATATCAAATAATGGCAAAAGATACGCTCATGCTTAATTGCCCACAACATGGGGCCACCAATAGCAGGCCGGTTCATGAGAACGGTTGGAACAACCAAGAGTAATACATGACGTTATTGGTTAATATACAGACAGATTAGATAATTAGTCTTCCTCTTATGCTGATTTAGAAATGGTCCTTAATATTTTTGTTGTTCGGTGCGAGTGGGATATTTAAACTTTCGGCCTACGATGCAAAGCTTAGTTCAGTGAGACTTATTTCAGGCAGATATTTAGGCTTGAAGGGTTTGGAGTTGCAGTAAACGTGTGGGTTCAAGTTCCACGTGAGGGACTCACTTTCTAATCAGTGTCAGGTATACGCAGATCTTCCTTATCAACTTTCACGTGTAAACAGGGAGGACACACCCACTACCTGATCACTTTCGCATGTATACAGACCTTATCAGCTTCCTACCTCATCAGGTTCTATGTGCATATGGACAGGAAACACGGACCTACCTCATCAGGTTCCACGTGTATATGGACAAGAAACACAGACCAACCTCATCAGGTTCCACGTGTATATTGACAGGAAACACAGACCTACCTCATCAGGTTCCACGTGTATATTGACAGGAAACACAGACCTGCCTCTTCAGGTTCCACGTGTATATGGACAGGAAACACAGACCTACCTCATCAGGTTCCACGTGTATATGGACAGGAAACACAGACCTACCTCATCAGGTTCCACGTGTATATGGACAGGAATCACAGACCTACCTCATCAGGTTCCTCGTGTATATTGACAGGAAACACAGACCTACCTCATCAGGTTCCACGTGTACATAGACAGGAAACACAGACCCACCTCATCAGGTTCCACGTGTATATGGACAGGAAACACAGACCTACCTCATCAGGTTCCACGTGTACATGGACAGGAAACACAGACCTACCTCATTAGGTTCCACGTGTATATGAACAGGAAGCACAGACCTACCTCATCAGGTTCCACGTGTACATAGACAGGAAACACAGACCTACCTCATCAGGTTCCACGTGTATATGGACAGGAAACACAGACCTACCTCATCAGGTTCCACGTGTATATGGACAGGAATCACAGACCTACATCATCAGGTCCCACGTGTATATGGACAGGAAACACAGACCCACCTCTTCAGGTTCCACGTGTATATGGACAGGAAACACAGACCTACCTCATCAGGTTCCACGTGTATATGGACAGGAAACACAGACCCACCTCATCAGGTTCCACGTGTACATGGACAGGAAACACAGACCTACCTCATCTCATCAGGTTCCACGTGTACATGGACAGGAAACACAGACCTACCTCATTAGGTTCCACGTGTATATGAACAGGAAGCACAGACCTACCTCATCAGGTTCCACGTGTACATAGACAGGAAACACAGACCTACCTCATCAGGTTCCACGTGTATATGGACAGGAAACACAGACCTACCTCATCAGGTTCCACGTGTATATGGACAGGAATCACAGACCTACATCATCAGGTCCCACGTGTATATGGACAGGAAACACAGACCTACCTCTTCAGGTTCCACGTGTATATGGACAGGAAACACAGACCTACCTCATCAGGTTCCACGTGTATATGGACAGGAAACACAGACCCACCTCATCAGGTTCCACGTGTACATGGACAGGAAACACAGACCTACCTCATCTCATCAGGTTCCACGTGTATATGGACAGGAAACACAGACCTACCTCTTCAGGTTCCACGTGTATATGGACAGGAAACACAGACCTACCTCATCAGGTTCCATGTGTATATGGACAGGAAACACAGACCTACCTCATCAGGTTCCACGTGTATATAGACAGGAAACACAGACCTACCTCATCAGGTTCCACGTGTATATAGACAGGAAACACAGACCTACCTCATCAGGTTCCATGTGTATATGGACAGGAAACACAGACCTACCTCATCAGGTTCCACGTGTATATAGACAGGAAACACAGACCTACCTCATCCAGAAGTTCCACGTGTACATGGACAGGAAACACAGACCTACCTCATCAGGTTCCACGTGTATATAGACAGGAAACACAGACCAACCTCATCAGGTTCCACGTGTACATGGACAGGAAACACAGACCTACCTCATCAGGTTCCACGTGTATATAGACAGGAAACACAGACCTACCTCATCAGGTTCCACGTGTATATAGACAGGAAACACAGACCTACCTCATCAGGTTCCACGTATATATAGACAGGAAACACAGACCTACCTCATCAGGTTCCACGTGTATATAGACAGGAAACACAGACCTACCTCATCAGGTTCCACGTGTATATGGACAGGAAACACAGACCTACCTCATCAGGTTCCACGTGTATATAGACAGGAAACAACGACCTACCTCATCAGGTTCCACGTGTATATGGACAGGAAACACAGACCTACCTCATCAGGTTCCACGTGTATATGGACAGGAAACACAGACCTACCTCATCAGGTTCCACGTGTACATGGACAGGAAACACAGACCTACCTCATCAGGTTCCACGTGTACATGGACAGGAAACACAGACCTACCTCATCAGGTTCCACGTGTATATGGACAGGAAACACAGACCCACCTCATCAGGTTCCACGTGTATATGGGAAGGAAACACAGACCTACCTCATCAGGTTCCACGTGTATATAGACAGGAAACACAGACCTACCTCATCAGGTTCCACGTGTATATAGACAGGAAACACAGACCTACCTCATCAGGTTCCACGTGTACATGGGAAGGAAACACATAATGAACACCAGCACCACCACTATCAACATCCGGGCAGCCCGCCTACGAGCTTGTACTTGAGCCGTCACTGCCGATTGTTCTCCCTCTGTAACAAGGGACTTTATGTCAGTGTTTATATCAAGAAATATCCTTTGAGACGTAATTGAGAGTTAAACGGTTCAAAAAGTGTTTTCTTTGTGCCAGAAAGTTCCGTACATTCACAGTGGCATTGAATGTAAGGGAATCGTTACAAAAGAAGCTATTTCTCAGAACGCTTCCAAACTTGGAATGTGAAATAATGTTTTCTAATATACATGTGCAGTAGTACGTTAATTATGAAACGTCGTGCCCATTAACGTCAGAATATGTCAGTCATTTTATCTAATTATTTATGTGAACAAAGACAACGCATTTTACATGTAATTGATAAAGGAACTATTGTTAGATGTTATTATCTCTTTTACGATCAATCTTGTAAAAGTTTGTGAAACATAAAGAGCGACTCTGTAATGTTTCCGTAAGCATACACTGGTTCATTAAAGGCTGAAGTAAGAAATGGATTTGCAGCCTGCACTACTTGAAATGTACATTTATGCCGAAAGAAACCCCATTTTATATATAATTGATGTCAAAGCGCAAGTAGTTCATGCTATAAATATAGTTTCCTTACTGTCCTCTGCTCATATTGCAATGTACAGATACTCAAAGGTTTACTGGTTACTACTCATAGCGGGTGTGATCCTAAACAAACACACGATCGGTCACAAATGTTCACTTTCAAGGCGAAAGCGATTATGCAAACAAGGTCAATAACATCTATCAAACACTCTAAATAACGAAGATCAGTGAAGTGTGTACAGAGTCGAAACCTGGTAAGTTGCAACGCAGCTGAATGTGAACTGCATCTCACAAGTGAGATAAAGTTGACAATGTGACGTCATTAGTGTTGTTCTGGACATGTGCCAGGTAAAATTGGGTATGGTCAGTCATCTTCATAGATTTGTTTAGACTTCCTTATTCACGTTAAATGTTAATGTCAGATGTCTCCCCCACCCTCTACAATAGACCGGAGTCGAAAACGTTCGTCGACATAGCCTGCTTGTTTGGACAAGAAATATTCTTGCTAAATGTTGTGAAGTTCCTGCCTTCCACTTTTGTCGCATAATGGAACTGAGGTAATTGGTACCAACAGGTTTTCACAGCCATTTGAACCTGGAGAACTTGCTGGATTGGTCCTTACTGTTGGTGGCACTATAGAAGGTGTATCTGGAATGGAGTACCCTGCAGGACGCTGACTGAGTACAGCTTGAGGATGTATACGGGACAAATTTCATCATTTCTCGCATATGGTTTGGGGTACATGTTACGGACACCCAATGTCCCCCACATTTTGTTTGCACATTCTCGACTGCCTCATTGTGAATACAAAAAATTCCCAACCTACCCACTGTGTCAGTTTAAAGAGCAACATCACACAATTTCACGTCAGTGTACGGTTCACACTACAGATACCACAATGAGTTGGGTCTCAAGTGGATTCCCTAAGGCTGATTAAAATGTACATAAACGTCACTCAGCTTTGCAGGTAGGAGGATTCGATATAAATATTTTTATTATGACGATATGCCGTGTGTCGTCATTTGCCCCCTTGATTGCCTGAAAATGTTTTCAACAGGGTGTTTTGGTTCTTATTGTCATGAACGAACTTATCAACGTACGAATGATCATATATTTGTTAAGGAAAACACCCAATCAGAAACCTCCGTGGTCCACTGTGTACCCCAGGGATCGGTACTCAGTCCGCTTCTTTTCATAGCATACACGACCGATGTTGCAGACGTACTTGACAAAGATGGCATTTGCTATAATTCGTTTGCAGATGACACCCAACTTTAGAAAAACTCCCAAGGACTTTCAAACTGGTCTTCATAAAATAACAGACTGTACTAAAGCTGCGAAGTCATGGATGACAAACAACATGTAAAGTTAAATGATGACAAAACTGAGGTGATGGTTGTTGGATCCAGGCAAATGCAAAAAAAAACAAATTACCAACAGTACTGTTCTGGTAGCAGATGCAGAGATCCAACCAGTAAGACCTCGGAGTTACACTTGACTCACAACTGGCGATGGACACCCATGTTAATCAACTCTGCAGAATATGCTTCTATCATCTACGAGCCATTGGCATAATACGTCATCTCAACAGTCGTGATGCAGCACACGGTCTGGTCCAGGGACTTGTTATATCAAGAATTGATTACTGTAATAGCCTCCTTTTTGGTATTTCTCAGAAGCTGCTATCAAAATTACAAAATGTCCAAAATACAGCCTCCTGAATCATAAGCAGAACTTCAAAGCGCTCCCACATAACACCTGTCATGAAAAACCTGCACTGGCTGCCTGTTAAGTCAAGAACTGACTTTAAAATATTGTGTTTTGTGTACAAGTGCCTCAATAGCAAAGGCCCAGAATACTTAAAAGAACTTCTTACCCCATACACTCCAGAAAGACAGCTCCTACTCTCTGTGCCTCGTTTCAAACTGCACACTGCAAACCTTTGCCTGTTCTGCCCCTCTACTCTGGAACTCTCTCCCTCTCACCATTAAATCAGCAGTTGACTTTAATTGCTTCAAACGACTTCTCAAGACTCATCTGTCTTCACTGTATACGTAAGTATATATGTATACTATCCACCCACTTTGTTAGCGCTTTGAGCATGGACCTTATACATGGAAAAGGCGCATTATAAGTACACATGTATTATTAGTAATGTTTTTAAATCGGTACATATCTACATCCATAACACATATCTACATTTAAATAACTCTGTCTGTACATATCTATACCCTTTGTCTGCCTCTTGTTGAACTTTTTTGTAATATACACTTGTAACTTTGTGGAGAGGGCTTATTTAAGTTGGATAACTTGTGCCCAATCCGTTTCTTAATTGAATAAAATATGTTTCAATCATATTATTATTATATACTACCCGTCAAAAGACTCTCTAGTGTAAATGTAGCCCTTTACTTGAGTCAACTCTTCTAAACTAGATTTTGCAAAATTTTCGATACTGTTAAAAGATACTGTTTACACATGAACTGATGTATTGTAAAACAAATTCGTAACGTTGAAAAGATAATTGTCATGGGTTAAAAAAAATGATGAGACTGATTGAAATTTAATGAATGATGCTCGTGCAATTCATCTGCATAAAGTTTGCAGTTGGTTCCCCAAAGTTAGTGGAGAAATTCATCTTCGATGTAACCACACATATATGCATAACATATAGTGAGTGCTTTAAGTGAGTCTAAACTTTTTGATGGGAAGTATATTATTATCATAAGGACCTAGGGTGGATCTTTAGCTTTAAAATCACCATCTTGTTTGGTGAAGTCATCCTTCATCATTACATTAACCAAGGCAACTCGATCTCACCATCGACTGGCACTGACGTTAGTATAACGTGTCAGGTATGTTTGAAAGAAAAGGGAATGTTACAGCATGTTCCAAATGGAGGCACAATGGAGATAACAACGTATCAGGTTATCCGGGGTACCCCATTCTCGATGAGGAAGGACTTTGACGAGATTTGCTTGTTCACTTGTACGAGTTTTAGGTTTACGTCCGCCAAGCTTCAGGTACGTTCGATGGGTCGTCTATCAACTCGATATCCCCCATTTCATAGCCTGTTCAGTGGTGCTGATCTCATTTCAAAGTGTAGTGTTTGATCCACCACAACGAGTTGGTTAATATCTGGGGGTTCGAGCTGCTCATCTGACCAACCATCTACAACTCATCAACTTTGACAGAGTTGATTGCTTCAGCGTGCTGGGATGGATTCACCTTTCCTTTCTGCTTAAGGTATTTCTGCTTTGATCTGAGAACATCACGTGTTTGAGAAATTGTCATGTCAATAAGAAGAGACAAATCTTGATTGTATTTTCTAAAAAATGTCAATAGGGTGAGTTGGGTTCGTGTTCCTCCTATTAACCTTTCCTACGGCAAAGGAAGACATTAAAAGGATCACGTGTAAATCCGGAGGGGCTAAGGTTTCAAGATCTCTAACATTTCATCTGACTTTGTTAATCCACATAAACCCGCAATATGTCAAACTCATATCATGTGTTTTGTGTAGTGTTTTGTTTTCTCGATCAGCCCATAGACACGTCGTTGCCCATCTCCACAAACCTCGACGACACAACCTTAGGTGACCGCTCACTTAGTATAGTATCAAAAACCTTTACCTCTTGAACATCACATGTATGTATGTATGTATGTATGTATGTACGTACGTACGTACGTACGTACGTACGTATGTATGTATGTATGTATGTATGTATGTATGTATGTATGTATGTATGTATGTATGTATGTATGTATGTATGTATGTATGTATGTATGTATGTATGTATGTATGTATGTATGTATGTATGTATACCGGGCCGTTGCGGCACTAAAGAACCCCTCGAGGGTAGTGACGCCGCAACGAGTAGGAGGGTCGCCGAGGTGGGCGCGAGCCTGAGTGGAGCCGCCTCGGATGCAGATCTTGGTGGTAGTAGCAAATATTCAAACTATGAATGTATGTATTTATGTGTGTGTGTGTGCGCGCGCGCGTGCGTGCGTGCGTGCGTGCGTGCGTATGTATGTATGTATGTATGTATGTATGTATGCCTGCGACTAAATGCATGTGCTAACATTAAATGAATTTCACACTTATTGTCTATATTTGACATCATCACAGAAAGTGAAGACTGTCCCATCAGCTGCCAGGGTTACAGGTTCTGTATACTGTGATGGAGATGCTGTCATTGTCATAGCTACAATGCACTAGTATGACTTCATCAATCTCTTAATTTATCTGATCTGGCTCCGTTACACTTATGTTTCTTCCCAAACATGAAGGAAGCTCTTGTGTGAAACTTTCTGAAGAGAACGGTGAAGCCATGGAAGAAGCTGTGAATGACTGTTTGGGTACACTAAGTGGAAGACATTTTCGAAACCGTGATAAAATCCATCCATCATCGTCAACAATATGTCAGTGGAAGGGGAGTGTGTTAAAATACACCGTTACAATTCTACACATTGACAGAAAGATACTCAGAT